TCCTTCCTTCACAATCCCGTGCCCCCCATGCTTCCTTCCTTCACAATCCCGTGCCCCCCATGCTTCCTTCCTTCACAATCCCGTGCCCCCCATGCTTCCTTCCTTCACAATCCCGTGCCCCCCATGCTTCCTTCCTTCACAATCCCGTGCCCCCCATGCTTCCTTCCTTCACAATCCCGTGCCCCCCATGCTTCCTTCCTTCACAATCCCGTGCCCCCCATGCTTCCTTCCTTCACAATCCCGTGCCCCCCATGCTTCCTTCCTTCACAATCCCGTGCCCCCCATGCTTCCTTCCTTCACAATCCCGTGCCCCCCATGCTTCCTTCCTTCACAATCCCGTGCCCCCCATGCTTCCTTCCTTCACAATCCCGTGCCCCCCATGCTTCCTTCCTTCACAATCCCGTGCCCCCCATGCTTCCTTCCTTCACAATCCCGTGCCCCCCATGCTTCCTTCCTTCACAATCCCGTGCCCCCCATGCTTCCTTCCTTCACAATCCCGTGCCCCCCATGCTTCCTTCCTTCACAATCCCGTGCCCCCCATGCTTCCTTCCTTCACAATCCCGTGCCCCCCATGCTTCCTTCCTTCACAATCCCGTGCCCCCCATGCTTCCTTCCTTCACAATCCCGTGCCCCCCATGCTTCCTTCCTTCACAATCCCGTGCCCCCCATGCTTCCTTCCTTCACAATCCCGTGCCCCCCATGCTTCCTTCCTTCACAATCCCGTGCCCCCCATGCTTCCTTCCTTCACAATCCCGTGCCCCCCATGCTTCCTTCCTTCACAATCCCGTGCCCCCCATGCTTCCTTCCTTCACAATCCCGTGCCCCCCATGCTTCCTTCCTTCACAATCCCGTGCCCCCCATGCTTCCTTCCTTCACAATCCCGTGCCCCCCATGCTTCCTTCCTTCACAATCCCGTGCCCCCCATGCTTCCTTCCTTCACAATCCCGTGCCCCCCATGCTTCCTTCCTTCACAATCCCGTGCCCCCCATGCTTCCTTCCTTCACAATCCCGTGCCCCCCATGCTTCCTTCCTTCACAATCCCGTGCCCCCCATGCTTCCTTCCTTCACAATCCCGTGCCCCCCATGCTTCCTTCCTTCACAATCCCGTGCCCCCCATGCTTCCTTCCTTCACAATCCCGTGCCCCCCATGCTTCCTTCCTTCACAATCCCGTGCCCCCCATGCTTCCTTCCTTCACAATCCCGTGCCCCCCATGCTTCCTTCCTTCACAATCCCGTGCCCCCCCATGCTTCCTTCCTTCACAATCCCGTGCCCCCCATGCTTCCTTCCTTCACAATCCCGTGCCCCCCATGCTTCCTTCCTTCACAATTCCCGTGCCCCCCATGCTTCCTTCCTTCACAATCCCGTGCCCCCCATGCTTCCTTCCTTCACAATCCCGTGCCCCCCATGCTTCCTTCCTTCACAATCCCGTGCCCCCCATGCTTCCTTCCTTCACAATCCCGTGCCCCCCATGCTTCCTTCCTTCACAATCCCGTGCCCCCCATGCTTCCTTCCTTCACAATCCCGTGCCCCCCATGCTTCCTTCCTTCACAATCCCGTGCCCCCCATGCTTCCTTCCTTCACAATCCCGTGCCCCCCATGCTTCCTTCCTTCACAATCCCGTGCCCCCCATGCTTCCTTCCTTCACAATCCCGTGCCCCCCATGCTTCCTTCCTTCACAATCCCGTGCCCCCCATGCTTCCTTCCTTCACAATCCCGTGCCCCCCATGCTTCCTTCCTTCACAATCCCGTGCCCCCCATGCTTCCTTCCTTCACAATCCCGTGCCCCCCATGCTTCCTTCCTTCACAATCCCGTGCCCCCCATGCTTCCTTCCTTCACAATCCCGTGCCCCCCATGCTTCCTTCCTTCACAATCCCGTGCCCCCCATGCTTCCTTCCTTCACAATCCCGTGCCCCCCATGCTTCCTTCCTTCACAATCCCGTGCCCCCCATGCTTCCTTCCTTCACAATCCCGTGCCCCCCATGCTTCCTTCCTTCACAATCCCGTGCCCCCCATGCTTCCTTCCTTCACAATCCCGTGCCCCCCATGCTTCCTTCCTTCACAATCCCGTGCCCCCCATGCTTCCTTCCTTCACAATCCCGTGCCCCCCATGCTTCCTTCCTTCACAATCCCGTGCCCCCCATGCTTCCTTCCTTCACAATCCCGTGCCCCCCATGCTTCCTTCCTTCACAATCCCGTGGCCCCCCCATGCTTCCTTCCTTCACAATCCCGTGCCCCCCATGCTTCCTTCCTTCACAATCCGTGCCCCCCATGCTTCCTTCCTTCACAATCCCGTGCCCCCCATGCTTCCTTCCTTCACAATCCCGTGCCCCCCATGCTTCCTTCCTTCACAATCCCGTGCCCCCCATGCTTCCTTCCTTCACAATCCCGTGCCCCCCCAGTGCTTCCTTCCTTCCCCAATCCGTGCCCCCCATGCTCCTTCCTTCACAATCCCGTGCCCCCCATGCTTCCTTTCCTTCACAATCCCGTGCCCCCCATGCTTCCTTCCTTCACAATCCAGTGCCCCCCATGCTTCCTTCCCTTCACAATTCCCGTGCCCCCCATGCTTCCTCCTTCACAATCCGTGCCCCCCCATGCTTCCTTCCTTCACAATCCCGTGCCCCCCATGCTTCCTTCCTTCACAATCCCGTGCCCCCATGCTCTTCCTTGTCCGTTTCACCAATCCCGTGCCCCCCATCTTCCTCCTTCACAATCCGTGCCCCCCATGCTTCCTTCCTTCACAATCCCGTGCCCCCCATGCTTCCTTCCTTCACAATCCCGTGCCCCCCATGCTTCCTTCCTTCACAATCCCGTGCCCCCATGCTGTCCTTCCTTCACAATCCCGTGCCCCCCATGCTTCCTTCCTTCACAATCCCGTGCCCCCCATGCTTCCTTCCTTCACAATCCCGTGCCCCCCATGCTTCCTTCCTTCACAATCCCGTGCCCCCCATGCTTCCTTCCTTCACAATCCCGTGCCCCCCATGCTTCCTTCCTTCACAATCCCGTGCCCCCCATGCTTCCTTCCTTCACAATCCCGTGCCCCCCATGCTTCCTTCCTTCACAATCCCGTGCCCCCCATGCTTCCTTCCTTCACAATCCCGTGCCCCCCATGCTTCCTTCCTTCACAATCCCGTGCCCCCCATGCTTCCTTCCTTCACAATCCCGTGCCCCCCCATGCTTCCTTCCTTCACAATCCCGTGCCCCCCATGCTTCCTTCCTTCACAATCCCGTGCCCCCCATGCTTCCTTCCTTCACAATCCCGTGCCCCCCATGCTTCCTTCCTTCACAATCCCGTGCCCCCCATGCTTCCTTCCTTCACAATCCCGTGCCCCCCATGCTTCCTTCCTTCACAATCCCGTGCCCCCCATGCTTCCTTCCTTCACAATCCCGTGCCCCCCATGCTTCCTTCCTTCACAATCCCGTGCCCCCCATGCTTCCTTCCTTCACAATCCCGTGCCCCCCATGCTTCCTTCCTTCACAATCCCGTGCCCCCCATGCTTCCTTCCTTCACAATCCCGTGCCCCCCATGCTTCCTTCCTTCACAATCCCGTGCCCCCCATGCTTCCTTCCTTCACAATCCCGTGCCCCCCATGCTTCCTTCCTTCACAATCCCGTGCCCCCCATGCTTCCTTCCTTCACAATCCCGTGCCCCCCATGCTTCCTTCCTTCAATCCCCCTTCACAATCCCGTGCCCCCCATGCTTCCTTCCTTCACAATCCCGTGCCCCCCATGCTTCCTTCCTTCACAATCCCGTGCCCCCCATGCTTCCTTCCTTCACAATCCCGTGCCCCCCATGCTTCCTTCCTTCACAATCCCGTGCCCCCCATGCTTCCTTCCTTCACAATCCCGTGCCCCCCATGCTTCCTTCCTTCACAATCCCGTGCCCCCCATGCTTCCTTCCTTCACAATCCCGTGCCCCCCATGCTTCCTTCCTTCACAATCCCGTGCCCCCCATGCTTCCTTCCTTCACAATCCCGTGCCCCCCATGCTTCCTTCCTTCACAATCCCGTGCCCCCCATGCTTCCTTCCTTCACAATCCCGTGCCCCCCATGCTTCCTTCCTTCACAATCCCGTGCCCCCCATGCTTCCTTCCTTCACAATCCCGTGCCCCCCATGCTTCCTTCCTTCACAATCCCGTGCCCCCCATGCTTCCTTCCTTCACAATCCCGTGCCCCCCATGCTTCCTTCCTTCACAATCCCGTGCCCCCCATGCTTCCTTCCTTCACAATCCCGTGCCCCCCATGCTTCCTTCCTTCACAATCCCGTGCCCCCCATGCTTCCTTCCTTCACAATCCCGTGCCCCCCATGCTTCCTTCCTTCACAATCCCGTGCCCCCCATGCTTCCTTCCTTCACAATCCCGTGCCCCCCATGCTTCCTTCCTTCACAATCCCGTGCCCCCCATGCTTCCTTCCTTCACAATCCCGTGCCCCCCATGCTTCCTTCCTTCACAATCCCGTGCCCCCCATGCTTCCTTCCTTCACAATCCCGTGCCCCCCATGCTTCCTTCCTTCACAATCCCGTGCCCCCCATGCTTCCTTCCTTCACAATCCCGTGCCCCCCATGCTTCCTTCCTTCACAATCCCGTGCCCCCCATGCTTCCTTCCTTCACAATCCCGTGCCCCCCATGCTTCCTTCCTTCACAATCCCGTGCCCCCCATGCTTCCTTCCTTCACAATCCCGTGCCCCCCATGCTTCCTTCCTTCACAATCCCGTGCCCCCCATGCTTCCTTCCTTCACAATCCCGTGCCCCCCATGCTTCCTTCCTTCACAATCCCGTGCCCCCCATGCTTCCTTCCTTCACAATCCCGTGCCCCCCATGCTTCCTTCCTTCACAATCCCGTGCCCCCCATGCTTCCTTCCTTCACAATCCCGTGCCCCCCATGCTTCCTTCCTTCACAATCCCGTGCCCCCCATGCTTCCTTCCTTCACAATCCCGTGCCCCCCATCCTTCCTTCCTTCACAATCCCGTGCCCCCCATGCTTCCTTCCCGTCTTATTCAGCTCCTCATGGAGTTACTCCCACAAGCCACGCTGGAGTGGAAGCTACACCTGCTGGAGAGTGGTTCTGCCTTCACAGAACCTCTGCTGCCTTCCGTTCGCGCACCAACACTCATCATTGCTGGGTGAGTGTGTGGTTATGTGAGGCTGCACGGGTAAAGCGTTTCCCGCGTAACGCCCTTCCGCCCTGAGTCACTCACACGCAGTGCCTTTACAAGAGAATTCTGCATTCAAATAAATTCCAAAAAGCCCCTCCAACCATCCGCTCTCCTATTCCAAGAGGAGCGACTACCTCCTGTTTCTCAGCAAGCAGGAAGCCATTCAATTGCTGGAGATGCTAAACAGAGCCAGGGAAGAGAAGTCGCTGGAGGCTGTAGCCACCGCCCTGCCTCTGCCTTGCCTCTGCCTTGCCTCTGCCTTGCCTCTGCCTTGCCTCTGCCTTGCCTCTGCCTTGCCTCTGCCTTGCCTCTGCCTTGCCTAACTCGGTGTCACTTGTGTGTTCCGCCCCGTTGCTCCCACTCTTGTTGACTCTCGTCATTGGTCCCCACAGGAGCGATGTCCAGCTTCTTCCCAGCAAGGAGGAGGCCAGCCGGCTGCAGGAAGTTTCAACCAGAACTAAAGTCCAAAGTCCCTGCAGTCACTGTGTTGTGATGCCTAATACGCCGTGACTTGCTCCCACTCTTGTTGACTCTCATCATTGGTCCCCACAGGAGTGACGACCAGCTTCTTCCCAGCAAGGAGGAATCTGGTCGCTTGCAGAAGATTCTGACCAGAGCCAAAGCCCGGACGGTTGTGCGGGTGTTTGAGGGGTCAGGGCATGCGCTGCTGCTGGTGAGTGTTTCCCTGTGCGCTGTTGCTGGTATGCCTTGTTCTGTGGCGCTCCAAGCAAAATGGGGTTTTTACCAGAGCCAAAGCCCGGACGGTTGTGCGGGTGTTTGAGGGGTCAGGGCATGCGCTGCTGCTGGTGAGTGTTTCCCTGTGCGCTGTTGCTGGTATGCCTTGTTCTGTGGCGCTCCAAGCAAAATGGGGTTCTTACCAGAGCCAAAGCCCGGACGGTTGTGCGGGTGTTTGAGGGGTCAGGGCATGCGCTGCTGCTGGTGAGTGTTTCCCTGTGCGCTGTTGCTGGTATGCCTTGTTCTGTGGCGCTCCAAGCAAAATGGGGTTTTTACCAGAGCCAAAGCCCGGACGGTTGTGCGGGTGTTTGAGGGGTCAGGGCATGCGCTGCTGCTGGTGAATGTTTCCCTATGCGCTGTTGCTGGTATGCCTTGTTCTGTGGCGCTCCAAGCAAAATGGGGTTCTTACCAGAGCCAAAGCCCGGACGGTTGTGCGGGTGTTTGAGGGGTCAGGGCATGCGCTGCTGCTGGTGAGTGTTTCCCTGTGCGCTGTTGCTGGTATGCCTTGTTCTGTGGCGCTCCAAGCAAAATGGGGTTCTTACCAGAGCCAAAGCCCGGACGGTTGTGCGGGTGTTTGAGGGGTCAGGGCATGCGCTGCTGCTGGTGAGTGCTGCTCTATGCGCTGCTTCTGATATGCCTTGCTCTGTTCGCTGCTGCTGGTGCGCCTTGTTATGTATGAGGTGCCACAGTTCTTTTTCTGAGCATGACTGGAGTCTCGACAGTCATGTGATTGTGTGAACTGAATGAGGGCTCAGGGCATGCGCTGCTGCTGGTACACCTGTGAAGAACTCACAGTCTGAAGGCACATTTCCTTGTAACTTTGACTCAAGCGAATGATTTCCTTCCTTCCCCCCCCCAATACTGCCACCACACTCATCAGAAGTCAGGTTTGGACCTCGTATCAACCATCAAAAGAGTGCACTTTTGAGTCGACTCAAAAGTCACCTCGCATCAACCATCAAAAGAGTGCACTTTTGAGTCGACTCAAAAGTCACCTCGCATCAACCATCAAAAGAGTGCACTTTTGAGTCGACTCAAAAGTCACCTCGCATCAACCATCAAAAGAGTGCACTTTTGAGTCGACTCAAAAGTCACCTCGCATCAACCATCAAAAGAGTGCACTTTTGAGTCGACTCAAAAGTCACCTCGCATCAACCATCAAAAGAGTGCACTTTTGAGTCGACTCAAAAGTCACCTCGCATCAACCATCAAAAGAGTGCACTTTTGAGTCGACTCAAAAGTCACCTCGCATCAACCATCAAAAGAGTGCACATGTTTTGAGACGTCTCAAAACCATCAAAAGAGTGCACATGTACATTCAGAGGCGAGGGGATGACCCTGTTTGGGAGGCCTATACCCCACCCCCCTTCTCCCCCATTTCTTAAGAGGAGTCAGGCTTGGACCTTGCCTCCACCATCAAGGGAGCGCACATGTACATTCAGAGGCGAGGGGACGACAGACCCTGTGGTTGCAAGCTTGTAGTGATCAACCCTAGCATCTTACATCCCCTTCTTGTTTCTTTCCTCCTCGCCTAACCCCCTCCCTACGAACAAATCTCACTCCACCACCCATCAGGAGTCAGGCTTGGACCTTGCTCCAACCATCAAGGGGGCACACATGTACATTCAGAAGCCAGGGGACGACCCTGTGGTGGCAGGTAGCAATCGACCCTAACCTATCCCTTCACATCCCTCACTTCTTCCCTGGCCCCTAAACCCACTTTCCAGGAATCAGGCTTTGACCTTGCTTCAACCATCAAGGGGGTGCCACATGTACATTCAGAGGCGAGGGGACGACAGACCCTGTGGTGGCAGGCGGGTGTAGCAATCAACGCTAGCCTCTTACATCCCCCTCTTGTTTCTTTCCGCTTGCCACTTTCCCCCACGCACACACCCACCCGCCAGGAGTCAGGCTTGGACCTTGCTTCCACCATCAATATTGGAGTGACTTTTGAGAATTCTCAAAAGTTCCACCATCAAGGGCGCGCACATGTACATTCAGAGGCGAGGGGATGACCCTGTTTGGGAGGCCTATACCCCACCCCCCTTCTCCCCCATTTCTTAAGAGGAGTCAGGCTTGGACCTTGCCTCCACCATCAAGGGAGCGCACATGTACATTCAGAGGCGAGGGGACGACAGACCCTGTGGTTGCAAGCTTGTAGTGATCAACCCTAGCATCTTACATCCCCTTCTTGTTTCTTTCCTCCTTGCCTAACCCCCTCCCTACGAACAAATCTCACTCCACCACCCATCAGGAGTCAGGCTTGGACCTTGCTTCAACCATCAAGGGGGCACACATGTACATTCAGAAGCCAGGGGACGACCCTGTGGTGGCAGGTAGCAATCGACCCTAACCTATCCCTTCACGTCCCTCACTTCTTCCCTGGCCCCTAAACCCACTTGCCAGGAATCAGGCTTGGACCTTGCTTCAACCATCAAGGGAGCGCCACATGTACATTCAGAGGCGAGGGGACGACAGACCCTGTGGTGGCAGGCGGGTGTAGCAATCAACGCTAGCCTCTTACATCCCCCTCTTGTTTCTTTCCGCTTGCCACTTTCCCCCACGCACACACCCACCCGCCAGGAGTCAGGCTTGGACCTTGCTTCCACCATCAAGGGCGCGCACATGTACATTCAGAGGCGAGGGGACGACCATGTTTGGTGTCTACCAACCCTACCTACCACCTTTTACACTACACCCCAACCCCACCCCTCACTAGGAGTCAGGCTTGGACCTCGCTTCAACCATCAAGGGAGCGCACATGTACATTCAGAGGCGAGGGGATGACCCTGTGGTGGCAGGCTTTCAGCCGCCCACTGTGGAGGAGCTAGCTCGGGCCAAATCAGGGCTGAACTGGTGAGTTGGGATGGGTGGAGAGAACGGTAACAAGGGTTTCGTTTGAGTGTAGGCGAGGGGATGATTTGTGTGAGTTGAGGAGCGAGGTGAGGGGACGACCTGTGGTGGCGGGTTTTCAGCCGCCCACAGTGGAGGAGCTATCTCGGGCCAAATCAGGGCTGAACTGGTGAGTTGGGATGGGTGGAGAGCGGTAACGATGATGAGTTGGGAGGCGAGGGGACGACCCTGTGGTGGCAGGCTTCCAGCCTCCCAGAGTGGAAGAGCTAGCTCGGGCCAAATCAGGGCTGAACGGGTGAGTGGAGAGAAAAGGGGTTCAGTACGGTAACAAGGTGTTTCTTAAACAGAAGTGAGAGCGTGTGAGCTGAGAGGCGAGGGGACGACCCTGTGGTGGCAGGCTTTCAGCCGCCCACAGTGGAGGAGCTAGCACGGGCCAAATCAGGGCTGGACGGGTGGGTAGAGAGGGGAGGGGTGGTGGCTCAATCCCTGCATGCAGTTTCCCCGCTGCTTCTGCAGCCGTGTTGCTCCCAGCAGTCGTGAAAGGTTCTACATACATGTTTAACTCCTGTTTTCCTTCTGCGCGTCTCCGCCTATCAATGCCTTTCATTTTCTGTTAAATGCAGGTTTCTCCGCCGTTTCTGCAGCCCCGTCTTTCTCTCAACTGTTGTAGAAAAAACTCCTGTTAACAGCATTGCTGCTAGTAAAGGAGATGGAGCTGTTGGAGGGAATGGGGCTGCTGCTGATATCAGGGCTGCTAATAACGGAGCAGCTATTAATGGGGCTGGTAGCAACGGAGCTGCTACTAACAGGGCTGCTGGCAATGGGGGCGCTGTTCCGGAGTCGCAAAATGGGGGCGCAAGCAGAAAAGGAAGCAGTAAAAGTAGCAGCAGAAGCAGCAGCAGCTCTCCAGCAAACTCAAACAGCAGCAGTATATCAACAGACCAGCACCAAAATCGGCAGCAGCAGCAGCAGCAGCAGAACCGAAAGCAGCGGCAGCGGGTGGTGGTGGGCTTAGAGGGAGTGCCAGCCTGCGAGCGGCCGCTGCTGTTTGTGGGCAACCACCAGACGCTGGCGCCGGAGATGAGTGTGTTGGTATCAGAGCTCATGGCGCATGGCGTGGTGGTGAGGGGGCTGGCGCACCCCTTGGCGATAGATATGGTGAGTGTACTACCTCATACCACCAAGCCAGGCAGGGCATTGGCTGCTTTTTGTGGGCAACCACCAGACATTGGCGCCGGAGATGAGCGTGTTTGGTATCAGAGCTCATGGCGCATGGCATGGTGGTTAGGGGGCTGGCACACCCCCTAGCTATAGAGATGGTGAGTGGCAATCAAACTGATTCAGTTTAACTGAATCCTCATCGTCTCCCCCAGTTCCATGGGATGAACATGCTGGTGTACAAGGCGAGCAGCGCGAGCAGTACAAGGTGTTCGGAGCCGTGCCTGTGACCCCCGCCAACTCATGCCTTCTTCCCAGCACATGCCCATGGTCCGTGCATGATCGCCATGCTCCATGCTCCATGCTCCACTCCCCGTTCCCCCAGTTCCATGGGGCGAACATGGTGCTGGTGGAGCAAGGAGAGCAGGATAAGCTGTTCAGAGCCATCACCAGTGACCCCATTCCCATGCCCCATATGCCCAAACCCCTAAACCCACAGTTCCACGATATCAACCTGCTGGTGGAGCAGGGCGAGCAGTACATGCTGTTTGGAGCCGTCCCTGTGACTTCTTGACTGAACACAACCCTATATCCCTCTAACCCTAAACCCCTGACCCCACAGTTCCATGATATCAACCTGCTGGTGGAGCAGGGCGAGCAGTACAAGGTGTTTGGAGCCGTCCCTGTGACCCCACGACTCAGAATCTTACACCCTAACCTTATGCCCCTGTACCCCCTAACTCCAAACCCCTGAACCCACAGTTCCAAGATATCAACATGCTGGTGGAGCAGGGCGAGCAGTTCAAGGTGTTTGGAGCCGTGCCTGTGACCCCATTGCCATGCTCCATATGCCCCATGCCTCACTCTCCCAGTTCTTTGATATCAATGTGCTGGTGGAGCAAGGAGAGCAGTACAAGGTGTTCGGAGCGGTGCCTGTGACCCCTAGACCGAGGACCCCACACCCTGACCTGAAACCCTGACCACTTAACTCTCCTTTTTTCAGTTCCACGATATCAACCTGCTGGTGGAGCAGGGCGAGCAGTACAAGGTGTTCGGAGCCGTGCCTGTCACCCCCGCCAACACCTACAAGGTCCTTGCCAACAAGGAAGCTGCGCTGCTGTTTCCTGGAGGCGTTCGGGAGGCTCTGAAGAAAAGGGTGAGCAATTGTTGAGTGGGGTGGAGTTGGGTGCGGTGGGGTGGGGTGAGCAGGTGATTGTGGGCGTGTGGAAGGTGCCTGTGGGTTGATTGAACTCGTGTTGTGGTGCTCTTGTGCTGATAAGGGGAGGTGGGGAAGGGAGTGTGCAGGAATGTTTTGTACGTGGTGTGTATGGCTTGGTGAGGAATGGGGTCTGGGTGGGCCTTTTTTTTAGAATTCTCAAAAAACAAATTCTCAAAATAATAATAATAATAATAATAATAATAAAAAAAAAAAAAAACGTGCGCAGGAATGTTTTGTGCGTGGTTGTGTATGGCTTGGTGAGGAATGGGGTTTGGGTGGGGGTGCTTTTGAGTCCGACTCAAAAACAGGATGGGGAGAGGCATACACGAAGGTGAAGGTTTTTTACTCAAAAGCAGGAATGTTTTTACGTCGTGTGTAGGACTTGGTGTGGAATGGGGTCTGGGTGGGGGTGGGTGAGGGTGGTGGGGGGATTGGGGCGCAAACGAGAACATGACGCTCATTGGCTTAGTCTGGTGGCATGCAATGCGTTGTTTTCAGGTTTGTAATTTCACTGCCATGGAGGCAATCTCTTTAGTATACTGAAGAAGCAAGGTTTCTGGCAAAAGCTATCCCTTTCTTACTCTGACTGTGTTTCGCTTCTGCTGTGTGTCTCTCAGGGAGAGGACTATCAGCTGTTTTGGCCTGAGCGAGCAGAGTTTGTTCGCATGGCGGTAGGTTACGCTTCTCTGTTGAGTGATGCGTTTTCGAGTAACTCACGACTGATTCTTTGTAGTGATGCCTTAATACACGTTTTTTCTACAATGAGTCTACCTGTACCATGGTTGGTTGGGGTGAAAGGCCTGATCCTTGTCGTTACAATCACTCTCTCTGGCGCATCTGATATTCTGAGACATCTCAAACTTCTCAAAGTGTATGGTGCCTCAAAACGTGTCTGGTCTTTCGAGGACATCTCCAGTAGTTCCCCTGGGGCTTCAGTGCTTCTTTTCTGTTTTGCTGCTTCCTGTTTCATGTGCTGCTCCTCCTATGGCAGGCAAAGCACGAAGCGACGATCATCCCGTTTGCGTGCGTTGGCGTGGATGATGGGTTCGATGTGAGTGGGGTGGGATGTAGGGGGTGTGTGTGACTGACTGTTGTGGGTATGATAGAAGTAGTAGAGGCAATGCACGAAGCGACAATCATCCCGTTTGCATGCATTGGCGTGGATGATGGGTTCGATGTGAGTGGGAGGGAGGGGGAGTGTCTGTGATAGTACGGTATGTGACTAGAGAGAGAAGATTCAGGTATGAAACTGGAGAGAGTGTGACTAGAGAGAGATGACTGTTGAGAGAGTGACCAGAGATCGACGGATGTAGGGAGTGGATGAAGCTTTGCCTATACTAATATCACGTTGTCTATCTATGGAGTCTCTCAGTGTATGAGCACATGAATGAAACTCTTTTTTTTTTCCTTTTTTTTTTTTGCCGGGTCCTTATTCCTTGTCTTAATCCTTGCCTGCAGATCCTTGTGGATGCGGACGAAATGCCCGACGTGCCCATCATTGGCCCCATGGCAGTGGAGGGCGTGCAGGCATGGCCCAGAGTCAGGTATGGAGATCAGGCCTGTCGAAGTCCCTGGGCCGAACACTTTGAGTCCTGAGCTGCTCGAATTCTAGCCCTGATTTTCACGGGCGCAGGCCAAAATCAAACCTTAAAAACCGGGCTTCTTAGAGAAGCGTGCGTAAGCCCAAATCTAACAAAGGTAGATGTAACCTATTACTTAGCAGTAGAAAGGGGCGTACTAACTTCTCGTCAACACACCTACAGCCTCTACATTGTAGGCAAAAACATTGTAGGCAAAAACATTGTAGGCAAAAACATTGTAGGCAAAAACGTTGTAGGCAAAAACGTTGTATGCAAAAACATTGTAGGCAAAAACATTGTAGGCAAAAACATTGTAGGCAAAAACATCTGGGGGTGGGGAAGGGGAGGTATTAGTGGGGGGGAGGAGGGGGGTCCTTCAAAACTGAAACCAAAACTTGGATTCAGGGGAAGGCCCAAACAAGGCCCTCAACTGTCACGGGTGCCAGGATCATCTAACACTTGAAATGGTTGAGCTGCTCCTAGTGTAGCCCGGAATGTTCAGGGCATTAAGGGCAAATGCCCTTACTTAGACAGCCCTGATGGAGATGAGTGCGATGCAGTGCAGTGTGGTAATGCTGCATTGGTGAAGGTGCAGAGCGGTAACGACCCATGCAGATCCTTGTAGATGCGGACGAAATGCCCAGTGTGCTCATTTTCGGCCCCATGGCAGTGGAGGGCGTGCAGGCATGGCCAAGAGTCAGGTATGGATAACGGTGCAGTGCGGTGAAGGTGCAGTGCAGTGTGGTTCAGGCAGGTGTTTGGTAGTAGTGCAGAGCAGGAAAGGCTGACAGTGAAGGTCTAGTGTGGTGCAGTGCGGTGAAATGCCTAACCCTCCCATCATTTGACCTTGGCAGTAGATGCAGTGTGGTGCATAGATGTTCAGAGGGGTGGTGCAGGCATCATGGCCCTTATTTCACTCAAAGGGGTGCTTGTTGCTTTGCACACCACTGATTAAACCCCTCTTTTTGTTCCTTTGCAAAATCTTACCTGAATATTGCAGGGATGCAGCAGCAGCAGGGGCAGCAGCAGAGCAATTCATCCCACCAGTGGTGGTGCCTAAGGGGCTGAATCGCCTCTACTTCCTCTTCGGAGCGCCCATCAGAACAAAGGGTGAGCAGTGGTAGCGACGGGAAATCAAGGGGCAGTGGTATTGGTGGTCTGGCAAGAGTCAGGGGCGGCGGCAGAGCCGTTCATCCCGCCAGTCGTGCTCCCCAAGGGGCTGAACCGCCTCTACTTCCTCTTCGGAGCGCCCATCAGAGCAAAAGGCGAGCTGTGGTAGCGTTAGTGAAGCAAGGAGCAATGGTAGTGGCAGTGACTAGAGCAGCTCATTCCGCCAGTCGTGCTCCCCAAGGGGCTCAATCCCCTCTACTTCCTCTTCAAAGCACCCATCAGAACAACGGGTGAGAGGAGTCTAGCTTTTCCGGAGCAGGTGTTGGTGGTGGCAGTGATAGTGGTGGTTTTGGTGGCATAAGGGGCTGCAGCATCAGGTGAAGGAAGAGGACCCGTACAAGAAAACACTCTTCTCCCTCTTTCCCTACCAATCCCCCATCCCCACCTGTCAACAACTCCGGGAACCCCTTTCCAACCAGGCATGAAGCATCTACTGACAGACAAGGCAGCAGCAGCAGAGCTGTATGCGCATGCGAAGAGGGAGGTGCAGGATGTGCTGTAGCGCCCAAACACTCATCTCCCTCCTCCACCCCTTCTTCCCCACCCATCCACCCTTTCCCCTCTTCCCCAGGCATGTCCCACCTGCTGACAGACAAGGCTGCAGCAGCAGCGCTGTATGCGCATGTGAAGGGGGAGGTAGAGGGTGGGCTGCAGTACCTGCTGAGGAAGAGAAAGGAAGACCCTTACAATGACCCTGTATCGCGATTGGTGTATGAAGCCACATGGGGTGGGAAGAGGCAAGCTCCCACGTTCAAGCCTGAATAGAGGTGCTTGTGTAGGGGATGGAAAGGATGGGCAGCAGTCTTTGCTGAGGAAAAGGGAAGAGGGTCTTTATAATGATCCTGTGGCGCGACGGATGTATGAGGCCACGTGGGGAGGAGAAAAGCAGGCTCCCACGTTCAAGCCTTGACAGAGATTTGTATGTAAAGGGGAGGTAGAGGATGGGCTGCAGTATCTGCTGAGGAAGAGGGAGGAGGATCGTTATAATGACCCTATATTGCGATTGATGTATGAGGCCACGTGAGGTGGGGAGAAGCAGGCTCCCACGTTCAAGCCTTGAGAGTGATTTGTATTGTATGTAAAGAGGAGGAAGAGGATGGACTGCAGCGTCGAGGAAGAGAGAGGAGGATCGTTATAATGACCCTATCTCAGGATTGTTGTATGAGGTCACGTAAAGAGGCAAGTGGCACGCTCCTACGTTCAAGCCATAGAGAAAGGTTTCTATGCAAAGGAATGCTAAGGCACTGTTGCAATTGCGAAATAAATAGATACCCACATACGATACATGCTTGAGTACAATATTCAGTACAATATTGCTAGAAGTTGTATAATGCATTTATTGTATGTGGTTTAGGTACTGCTAACACTCTATCGAGCCAGGATAAAAGGTGTAGTAATTAAATTAGTTCAATCCGCATGATGCTGTTTGATGCACGCACATGGTGAAGGCTGTACATGCGCCTCCATCCAAGATGCACGGACATGGTGAAGGCTGTACCTGCGCTCCAAACCAATGGAGAATCAGGTTACAGCCCAGGTTCAACTCTCCAAATCGCGGGATCAGGAGCAGATGTCTGAGACACCTGCGGTTCGATCTTCATTGTTTCAGGCTCCGCGCCGCATCAACATCGCTCTCAGGACGTCATCCAACCAATCCCAACGCAGGAATGGCCAAGCACTTCTGTGGGTATGCATCATACAAATTTGCCCTTCAATAAGAAGTAGATCAAAGTGAATTGCAAACAACGCAATCAAAGCACCAGAGTCGAAACTAGTATATTGTTTCCGCCCAATCGCCCTCACTAGTTGTAGCTCGTCAGAATGGCTCGATCAGCGCTTCTAGCGCTCTCGCTCGCGCTGCTCGTCATCGCTGCGCGCGCCGGTAACCCCATCACGAGCTCCTCCGCGAATGAGAAACCCGACCAGAGCGGAAAGAAGGACGATGGGCTAATGACCGACATCCCGCAAGACATCGCGAAACAGGCCGCGACGGGTAACGCGGCAGGTGTTACATACGTCGATACCGCTCAGGATTCTTTCTTCATGGCTGATGTGAAAAAGGCTGGGTGGAACGCGCAGAAATGCCCGCCCGGTTTGAACAAGGAACTTGCAGGAGCGTGCACTCCGAAAAATTGCTCCAAGGGCGGATTTGCCGCCAAGTGGAAAACCGCGTATCTGCAGAAGAACAAGCTCGGTTACGAATTGTACGTACCGGGTAACCCGCTGACGTTGCTCAAGGCGAACCCCGCGTCGTGCTGCAACACCTGCGCCGCGACGCCGCTGTGCACGTACTGGCAGTACATCCCCGATATTACCATCGACGGGAAGAAGGGCAAGGGCGCGTGTTATTTGATTCACGATCAGATCGATTTCACGTGCGGAGAAATGACCGCGCAGTACAGTACGGAGACGAAGCCCGTGCATCTTCAGGTGCGCATCGGCGGCGAGTGTAACCCTAGCCCGAAAATTCTCAACGACCCGCATTTGGTCGGCGCCCAGGGCACGCATTTCGACTTCAACGGCCGGCCCGACAAGGCGTTTTGCCTGCTCACTGACAGGAACCTTCACGTGAACATGCTCCTGAGGGGGTACTATGACGAGAACACCGATAACGCGGCGCTTGTTGTTGAAGGGAAGGCCGTGCACACGTGGATTAAGGAGCTAGGTATTGTGTGGACGGCTGGAGGCGTGGACCGTAAGTTCCGGATCGCGGCGCGCGGCGGCAAGCAGCAGGAGCGCGGCGACGGTTTCGTGAAGAGCATCGAGATTGACGGCGAGGAGATCCCTCGCATGCAGGTTGGCGATATGGTTACCAGCGCCGGCGGGTTGACGATCGAGTTCCGCGGGTTGGAGAAGGAGGGGCCGTTCGATGTGGATTATTATATGCTCTCCATCGCAGGGTTAATTACCCTCGACCTGCGCCTGCGCGTCGCGCACCCCAAGCTCCAGACCCCCACGGATGCCGAGGCGCACATCAACGTCGGGATTGCCGAGCTCGAGCATACGGAGGAGATTCACGGCGTGCTTGGTCAGACGTACCGCGCGGATCACGCTGCTCGCGCCGCGGATTTCCAGCGCCTCGTTTCGAGCCTGCACCGTCCGATCTCCGCCGATGGCGCCGAGGGGAAGGGGTTCCTGGATGGGACACCCCGGTCGTATGAGGCGAGCGATGTGCTTGCTGTGGACTGCGCTTATACCGCGTACGGACGCGCCAGGAAGGTGATGCTCGTGCAGGAGTTCCCGTAAAAAACTGACTCTGTGGGACTGACAGTGGGCTGTATTGTATGGTGCGCTGAAAGCAGATTCGCTCAGGATATTTATGTTGCATGCTTCCTCTTATTCAAAATCTCTTATTTATTCATGTCCAAACCTGGTACCATGCTTATCTCACCTCTTTTATCTCGGTTCTTGAAGCTATGTGTCTATGTGTCACAAGATATTACACGTTTGCAAATAACTGAGATCGAACTCTTGCCTAGCTTTATCTGAGATTTAGGGCGTGTAACCATTTTGATTTTGGGGGTTTTTGCGGTCTGTCAGTATATTTTGGAACGGACAGTCCGACTAACCCAAATAGTACCGTTCGTTTTGACAGTTCGGAACCTTGCCACCGCCTGGAAGGAAATGTGACACTTTTTGCGTGTCCTTCACATTCGCGATCACTGTAGCGTCGCTAGATGCACAATACTCTCGTAACCCAATTCACGACCAGGGCTAATTTTATCAGTGTAAATCACCCTGATACTCTGATTATCAGGGTGGTTTTTGGTAGTCACACTGATGGCCTAGGGTATTTTTTTGTGGAGCTAGGATTTTCCTGATATGCCAGGGTTTACATTTAAGGCACACTGATGCCTCAGGGTTACCGTTCTTCATAACGAATTTTACCATGAAGCGAATACCATACCCCCCCACCCCCCCACTTCCCCCACCCCCCCTTCCCCGTAACCCGGGATTCCCGATTGACAACTGTCGAAACCGGAATTTCAGCCTGCTGAAGTAACTGACGACGAGCAACACCCATGTGGCATGTATGATCTAATTTTTTTATTGTGTGCAACGATAATATCACTTCATCAGGGTTTGCTAAACTGGTACACTGATGCCACAGGGTTGGATTTTCAAAAACAAGAAAAACACTGATGGATCAGGGTTTGAAGAAGGTGTCACACTGATAATCAGGTTTTTGAACAGGTGCAACACTGATCACAAGGGTTGCTCAAAACGAAAAATTAGCCCTGTTCACGACTAGACGCAATATTCGCCCACATACAGAGCGCCTGAATTCGCGCGCCAATCCCTGCACAGGATTGTCGGACCGTCCGTTGTGCTTTCGGACTGTCCGCTGTCCACGATCTGAACCGCTGAAAGAGTGAAAAAGTGTCACGACTGTTCGAAATATTGGCGACGTCGCACATGGTTTCACGAACTCTTCAACGACATAATGCGACCAAGGTAACCCTTCGCCGACCCGGACGGTCCACATTTCGGACCGTCCAGGGCAAAATGGTTTATACGCCCTTAGTTATCAAGTCACCAAAACTTGCAAACTGAAGCCTTACTTGGTATGAGAATGAGAATGAGGGGCAGCTGGCGTTTGCAACAAGAATCTTCAGAAGAAGGAAGCAATTCATCGCACTGGCCCACAATCTCTGGGAGGCCATACCTGGGAAAGGGGGATGACAGAAAAAGGGCAGCCGATTCAACTGGGGGAAATGGGAAGAGGAGACACGAATCCATCTCCTTCCCTCCTCCCCACCTTCCCCTCCACACCACCACCCCCCCCACCCAAAAAATGGATACCATAATTATGGTCCTGTCATTTAGCATCTATGTAACCACTGCCCTACCTCGTTCTCCACTACCGAGTCACTCTGTAGAAAACCACCTCTTCCTACCTCTCTGCAGTTGATTTCTCGCCCTCACACACTGTCAAAGAACCTCCCCTCAATGCACAGGGCACGGGCCGTAGTGGCGCGATTCAGTGGATTTGAAAAAATTGTCTCCTTGCTCTCAACAAGTGCTCTGTCTTGTACCCTTCTACACTCTCCTTCTGTCCTCAACTCCCCCTCACTCACTCTGTAGAAGACTCGTCCCTTGACCAGAGCCAGGGGCACAGGGCCGTAATGCCGAGAGTCAGTGGAGTTGAAGAGATTGTCGCCTTGCAACCACACATGCCCTCGTGGGACCTGATGGGGTGGAAGGGAGTGCAGTGCGGTGTAAAGGAAGTAAGGGTGTGATTGAGACCATGGGGGTAAGGAGGGAGCGGTTTTAGAGCGTGTCAGAAGCACATGCATCACTCGTCACGGTTTCCCCCTCTTTCCCCATCCTCCCCTGCTTTCCTGTGTGCCTACACACTGGCCCTGAACCTACCCTCATCCATCACTCACTACCGTATGTACCACCTCAGTGACTAAGCGTGCATCGTGTGAGGATTGAACGGGGAATTGTCCACCTATATGTAGCCCTGCATGTGTCTCCCCATACGCCACGCACTCACCTATGCATGCCCCCTGTGCCCGTGCGACTACTCACTCACTCACCACTGTATGTGTTTCCCCAAGCAAGACTCTTCTAACCATGAATCCTCGGAGTGGAGGCACCTCACGCCCCTCCACGCCACCACCCGCTTGCATACCATCATGCGTGGGTTGGAAGAGAGGACGAATTTTGAGGCGCCTCAAGGGTAGGAGGGGGGGGACTTGGCAACAAGAGGGTTAGAGGACGGACGACTCACCACTATAGCAGCTGTACTCACCACTGTGTGTGTTTCTGCATGCTTGCCTCGTCCACCCATGAATCCCCTGGTTGGAGGCGGCATGGAATGCACCTCATGGCCCTCCATTGCCACCACCCGCTTGCACACCATCATGAGCGGGTTGGAGGGGGGGACTTGGCACGACAGGAGCTATACTCACCACTGTATGTGTCTCTGCATGTTTGCCTCGTCCACCCATGAACCCTCTGGCTGGTGCGGGGGGCATGGCATGCACCTCATGGCCCTCCATTGCCACCACGCGTTTGCACACCATCATGCGCGGGTTGGAGGGGGACTTGGCAACGACTATGTCGCCGGGCTTTAAGGCATGCAGCGCGGGCGTGATGTGCTCCAGTAGGACCACGTCCCCTGCTGCATTCAATGTTGGCAGCATGCTGGGACCCATGCACTGGGGGGCAGGGGAGGGGGGTCGGGGGGATGAGTTGAATATGGGTAAGGAAGAGGAGAGAAAAGGAGACTATAACATACCAGAGTGACATCATCACGTATCAGAGTGATGTCATCACGTATCATAAATAAAACCCATGAATTCGTTAGTGAACGCATGGTAGCAGCGCGCGAAATGGGTCGTCACAGATCATGATGAGATCATCAGAAACCGAGTGACGTCATAACGTGCCAGAATGACATCATAACGTATCAGAGTGACGTCATATGTACCATGGTAGCATCCATGAAGAACTAGTGAACACATGGTAGCAGCATGCGAATTGGGGCATTACATATCATGATGAGATAATCATAAACAGAGTGATGTCATAACATCCAGAATGACATCATAACGTACCAGAGTGACGTCATGACGTACCATGGTGACATCCATAACGTAGTTAGTGAACACATGGTAGCAGCACGCAAATTGGGTCATCAAAGCCGCTCTGTTCCAAGCCTCTTGCAGCAGCGCACGCCACGTCATCAGACCAATGTGGATTCCGGTGGATGAAAAGCTGCCGACGTGGACGCTGAGGTGGACTACCGTGCGGCAATCATGGATGTCGATGGCTGCTATGGCATAGGCGCCTGACAAGCTAAACTTTTCAATTACTGCCTTTTGAATAATCAAATAAGGAGACTTGTGAGTTGACGCAAGCTTATTAGCCGTTAACGTACGGTGGGTGGGTTGGTTACGCCAATCGTTTTGAAATTTCTCCAAAAACGACCTACGCGAACCTCTGAGTAATCGGAACGTGAAAACTTAGCGAAACGAGGCGATTTTGCGGAGAGGAAGTGGCGAAAGAATTGAGAAGCGTTGGCGAAATTAAACGCGTTGGCGGAATGAGAATTGAGGGATTTCGGATGAGTAATGTGGAAAGGATTGTGCCGTTCAAGAACACACAGGATCCGCCTCGACCGCGTCTGACGCACACGACCACGCGTTTCGCAAAAGCCAGGAGCTATGACGCTTTGCGAAGTGTCCTGCGGCAAAATACGCGGCGGAGTGCACGGAATCAGCGATGTTTGAACTAAAAATGCCACTCAGGTGTCTCAGAACTTCCCAGCTTTTGAAATGGTTTGAGTGAAATAGACTTGTTCTGGACTTGAGGTTGAGCAGACTAGTTGGGGACGTGTTCTCCATTTCCCGAAAAAGAGTAGTTCGGTTGGCAATTTTAATGAACGAATATGCGAGGACTGCCTGGCTCACGCGAAATTCGGGCTACCTGGAATGAAGTGGTCAACAAACTGAAACCGAGAAGACCAAGCCTCAAAACGGAAATATCCGTTTACCAGCCATTATTTTGCAAAACAGCTCTCCACCACTTCTGGACCATTTGCAGGAATGGGCCCTCACGGTGCTTGCTTACTTCCAGAACAATTGATGCTCATGGTTGGTTCTGTTGTGCATCGGTTCCAAGCGGTAAAAACAGTATCGTTCTTAACCGCGATATAATGTACTGAACCGCGAGTTTAGCAATGAATGAAGAAGTGGGATGGGTCTCACTCTCCTGTGTCGTGTCTTGCATGATTCATGGTCATGCAGCAAGCTGAGAGGTGAATCTGGGTACACGAGGTCGCACTTATCGCTGCTGCTGCTCCTTGGCTATCTTTACGGGTCAGCAAGACTGTTCGATTTTTCATTCAGTTGTGGATCGTATTCAATAGATTACTGTCAAGGCTTGAGCAGCTCGTCTGCTAGTAGCCTCCCTGTTCACCGTGCGAGAAATTCGTTTTCAGAATTCTCGAGAATCTCTCGCCGTCATGTCATCTGACGAGAGTCGTCTGCGCGAGGTTGTCACGGCGATTCTAGAAGCCGGCGACCTGGAAGAATTGACTGAGAAAAAAGTCCGTCAGTTAGCGCGCGAAAAGACGGGGATTGACACGTCAGCAGATGCGAACAAGCAACTAATTCACAAGATAGTTAAAGCCTTTGTGGAGGAGGAAGCGGAGGATCCAATAGAGAAGAAGCGGAAAAGGCGGAGAAAGGGATCTGATGAGGACAGCGGGAGTGAGAAGGAGGAGGAGGAAGAGGAAGAAGAGGAGAAAGGGAGGGGGAAGTCGCGGAAAGGAGGGAAGAAGTGGAAAGTGGGTGACGGCGGAGAGCTTGTGATTTGCGAGGTGAGATTGAGTGGTGAGGTGAGATTGAGACGTTTTAGGTACGGTTGACACGGTATAGGCCATTGGAAAGGCGGGAAGAAGTGGAAAGTGGGTGACGGCGGAGAGCTTGTGATTTGTGAGGTAAGATTGAGTGGTGAGGTGAGATTGAGTGGTGAGGTGAGATTGAGTGGTGAGGTGAGATTGAGTGGTGAGGTGAGATAGAGACGTTTTAGATACGGTTGACACAGTATAGGCATTTGGAAAGGCGGGAAGAAGTGGAAAGTGGGTGACGGCGGAGAGCTTGTGATCTGTGAGGTGAGATTGAGTGGTGAGGTGAGATTGAGTGGTGAGGTGAGATTGAGATTTTTTGGATACGGTTGACACAGCATAGGCCATTGCGATGTACGCAAGGATACACTGGCCTTGCCCCCGATGCGTGCGAGCCAAGCCACCCTTGATCAACCCTTTCCTCCCTCAACCGCAGCTGTCTGGGAAGCGCAAGTTGACAGTGGGTGAGTTCAAGGGGCGCTTGCTGGTGTGTTGTGCTGCAGACTCAAAAACCATCCCGTATCTACCCTACCTTCCCTCACCCCTCTTGGATATGTTACTGCTGCACAGTTGTCTGTGAGTGAGTTCAAGGGACGCTTGCTGGTGTGTTGTGCTGCAGACTCAAAAACCATCCCGTATCTACCCTACCTTCCCTCACCCCTCTTGGATATGTTACTGCTGCACAGTTGTCTGGGAAGCGCAAGCTAACAGTGAGTGAGTTCAAGGGACGCTTGCTGGTGTGTTGTGCTGCTGACTCAAAAACCATCCCGTATCCACCCTGCCTTCCCTCACCCCTCGTGGATTTATTGTTGCCGCACAGTTGTCTGGGAAGCGCAAGCTAACAGTGAGTGAGTTCAAGGGGCGCTTGCTGGTGTCGATACGCGAGTACTATGAGAAAGGCGGCAAGGACATGCCTTCCTCTAAAGGTGGGTGCATTATCCCTCTTCTCTGACCCTCTTTGATCCCTCTAACACGTGAGTGAGTGGCGCTTGCTGGTGTCGATACGCGAGTACTATAGCAATGACGGCAAGCACATGCCTTCCTCTAAAGGTGGGTGCATTCTCTCTCTGCTCTGATCCTCTTTGACCCCTCAAACACATGAGTACTATACGAGTACTATAGCAAGGAGTGGCGCGTGCTGTTGTCGATACGCGAGTACTATAGCAAGGACGGCAAGCACATGCCTTCCAATAGAGGTGGGTGCATAATGTGTGTTCTACACCTCGCTTCACTGATACAATATCACCTTCACCACCACTTCCAGATACACCTGACCAGATGTGCCTACGACATCCGTTAGTATATGTATATTTTTTGGTTCAGTGCAGAAATGTGTTTTCCAGCTCATCACCTCCTCACCATTCTTTTCTCCTTTACTGTATTCTCTGTTCCTGCAGGCATCAGTCTTCCTCCTGACCAATGGGATAAGCTGGTGAGGCACATTGATACTGTACAAGAGGCCATTGATCACTTGTCATAGTACGGTACACTACAGTAGATGGATATACTTTTTAGTCGACTTGCAAATTGACACAGTATAGGAAGCCATTGTATTGTACACTAGCCATGGCGCATATATAGACTTTTCTGACAACGTGGCGTGACCGATGGGATAAGCTGGTGAGGCACATTGTTTTGTACAGGAGGCCACTGAACACTTGTCATAAGGTGTACAGTCAACTTACTATGTACCCAACAAACTTAGACGAAACCTGAAGATAGTTTTTCCAGCAAAACGACACCCATTACCATTCAAATAGCAATGAAATCTGGTGGCTTCAAGTGTTGCTATTAGTGAATTTAGTGTTGACAAGAGAATAATTTCCAGTCAAACCAAGCGTTACATGTACCAATGGCTGCAACGCATCTCGACAGACTTACCACACTACGATGATGACAAGTTAAGAGCAAAATCCATGCTGCTGGCTCAGTTAGAATTGAAATACCGTAAGCGGATGGATGGCTATACATTCATTATAAGCAGCCGAAACTGCCGAAACTTGGGTTAAAGACGGTGTGAGGCAAAGCGCTTGGGATTTCCATGCCAGTGGCGGGATCTGCTGCCAAGCGGAGACTATAAAATCAGCAGATTGATGTTAACCAGGGTACAAGGGGTTTTTCCCTCCTTTGATTCGCCGAGCCAGTTGGATATCTCGAATCACTGGCACCACACATGTGCAGTGGGGGAGGAGAGAGGGAGGGAGGGAGGAGGACGGGAGGAGGGAGGAGTGGGAGGAGAGGGGGGGGGAGGGCTTATAAGCAGTGAAGAATATGCTGTTACACAAAACATTTGTATCAGCGGTCATCAAGCAGTGTTATCTCTTTTGGCAGCAGTGTTACCTTTGCCTGGTAGTGAGAAACGAAAATGCTTACTCAAAGTGACTCTTTTGGAGTGTATGGCGAGCAGAATGCCGTCTTCAAACAAGCTCACCAGGTAGGCCTCTGCTGCCTGATGGGAGGGGAGGAGAAAGGAGAGGATAAAGCGGAAGGGCAGGGGAGGGTGGTGAACAGAGCAAAACACCGTCTTCGAACAAGCCCACGAGATAGGCCTCTGCTGCCTGATGGGGGAGGAGCAAGAGGAGGGGGGGGGGGGAGTGGGGGAGGTTGTGATAATGTGGGAGAGAGGCCTCCCCCATATTATCACACCCGGGTGGCAGAGAACAGTCAGAAGATGTGAAGGGTTGGAGAGGGGAAAAGGAGGGGGGCCGGGTGGGGTGGGAGGGGGAGGGAGACTGCAAATGCAGGAGGAGACGGATGAACGATAGCAGACATAGCACACCCATGTAGGGCACAGAGTAGGTGGCACAGAGTGAGTGGCACAGAGTGGGTGGCACAGAGTGGGTGGCACAGAGTGGGTGGCACAGAGTGGGTGGCACAGAGTGGATGGCACAAAGAGGGTGGCACAGAGTGGGTGGCACAGAATGGGTGGCAGAGTGAGTGGCACAGAGTGGGTGGCACACAGTGGGTGGCACAGAGTGGGCGGCACAGAGTGGGTGGCACAGAGTGGGTGGCACAGAGAGGGGGGCATAGAGCGAATGGCTCTCTTATTTTAACTTCACATCGTCACCTTTAGTACACCCACTCTATTTCCTTTTGATTTTTAGAAATGACTATATTCCCTTGTCCCCTTGCCCCACCCCTCCCCCTCCCCACCCCTCCCCCGCCCCACCCCTCCTCCTCCCCACCCCTCACCCCCCATCAGCAATTTCCATTTTGCCGCCCCTCCTCTCTTCTCCCACGCCCTCTCCGCCCCCGCCCTTAACCTCTCAGTTCTACTTAACCTCCTACCCCCTTCGGCCTATCCCCGTGCAGTGAGGTGTATTTTGAGGCGCCTCAAAATACGCCTCAAAATACGCCTCAAAATACAGCTCAAAATCTACTTAACCTCCTACCCCCTTCGGCCTACCCTCCGCCCCTTTCCTTCATCCCTCCATCCCCCCCTCCGTTCCCCCCATTTACCCCATCCGTACGACGCAGAGCAATCTGTTCCGCCATAATTTTGGCGCCAGCTATCTGGTAGGGTAAGGCGGTAATAACAATTTCGCCATACGACCATGAACGCGGCTTTTTTCGGCTCAACCCTTTTCTTTCCCTGTGGTTTCCCGACCTCCCCACACCTCCACCCATCTTCCCCCATCTTCCCCCATCTTCACCCATCTTCCCCCATCTTCCCCCATCTTCCCCCATCTTCCCCCATCTTCCCCCATCTTCCCCCATCTTCCCCCATCTTCCCCCATCTTCCCCCATCTTCCCCCATCTTCCCCCATCTTCCCCCATCTTCCCCCATCTTCCCCCGACCAGGGCTTGAACTGCCCCCGACCAACTTCCCCCCTCTTCCCCTCCCACCCTCCCCCGGCGCATGCACAGGACCATGAGTGCATATTTTACACCCAACCCTCCACGTTCCCCATCACCCCCCCCCCCTCCCCCGCTTCTCCCCCCATCTCTGTAACCAATCTGCAGCCGTAAAAGTTCAGGCGATCCCTGATAGCCCTTGTGTGCCCATTCCCTACCACCGCACTCCACACCACCACACTCCCAGTTACCAACGAACACACCACTTGCAGCCCAAGAACGGCGTCAGAAGTCCATCGCACGTCCATCGTGGTGAGCGTCTAAGCGATCCATAGCACCTGTTTACCCCATATCACCGTACTCCACATCACCGCAATTCAAACCACCGCACTCCCTGCCACCACACCCCACATTACTGCACAACCTACCAACCCTTCGCACCTCTTGCAGCCCCAGCACGGCGTCAGCAGTCCATCGCACATCCAGCGTGGTGAGCGTCTGAGAGATCTCCTTGCACTGGTGACGGTGAGAAGTAGAGGAGAGACGTAGGCAAGAGGGGGGGAAGGTTGGAGGAGAGTGGGAGAAGGGGTTGGGAGGACAGTCCATCGCACGTCCATCGTGGTGAGCATCTGAGAGATCTCCTTGCACTGGTGACGGTGCAGGGGAGGGGAGGATGGGGCGAGGGAAATGGGGGAGGGAATCGTGGGGGATAATGGGAGAAAGGGAGAAGGGGCAGCAGAGTGGACAGTCCATCGCACGCCCATCGTGGTGAGAGTCTGAGCTGTCTCCTTGGACTGATGGGAACAAGGGGAGGGAGAGGGAGAGAGGGAGAGGGAGAGAGGGAGAGAGGGAGAGGGAGAGAGGGAGAGGGAGAGAGGGAGAGGGGAAAGGGGGGGAAACGGGCATCGGCGTCAGCAGTCCATCGCACATCCATCGTGGTGAGCGTCTGAGAGATCTCCTTGCACTGGTGACGGTGGGGAGAAGAGGGGGCACGGAGGAAAGAAGGAGAGGGGCACGGAGGAAAGAAGGAGAGGGGCACGCAGGAAGGGCGAAAGGTTGAGGGAGAGTGGGCGATGGGGCAGTGGGGTTGGCAGTCCAGCTCACATCCCGAAGGGCCACTGGTGCGGGTTTGAGCAGCCCCATTGCACTGGTGACATCAAGGGAAGGGGGATGGGGGGGCAGGGACGGAAAGGGGGTGGAAAGAAGGTTGAGGGCAATTTGATATTCACAGGCATGAAACCAATGCATTATTGGTCAATAACTAATTTAATATTATGGATATTGGTTGAATGCAGGACCAGTAGCACAACTCAACCAATCTCTCAGCTTGATTCGCGGGCTCAATACCCGTCTGGTCCTTTTTCACTCTCAAATACCCGAGCTCAATTTTCTGGCATGTCCATTCAGAATATATGGAAAGTAAATTAAGGATGTTTTTTTGTTTCACTGACCACGGCTGTGTTCTAAATGAACTGGCATTGCGAGGGAAAGGGGTAAGACAGGGGTGTTTAGAGAGGAGGATAGCGGGAAGGGGGAGGGACGTGGGGGAGAGGGGAAGGGGAAGCAGCACAGAAACAGTACCAGAAGGGAAGGACGGCTTGGGACAATCTTCTTGCACGAGTTTGGAGATTAATTTCGAATCGACTAGAAAATTCATCTCCTGCATGGGCTTGGGAATGAATCTCAAGTCGACTCAATACTACCCGCCTTGCACGGGTTTGGAAATACTGAAACTTACAAGTCGCATGAACGGCAGCTTGCGAATGAGAAGGTCTGTGGTCTTCTGATACCTCCTGATCTCCATCAGTGCCACTGTTCCCGGCCGGTAGCGGTGCGGCTTGCGCTTGATTCCTGAGGGCACCGTAAGGAGAACACAATAGATGGAAGGGGAAAGGAAGGGGAGGGGAAAAGGAGGGGAGGGGGGGGGGGGGAGAGGGGTTGAGGAGGTCCGTGGTCTTCTGGTACCTCCTGATCTCCGTCAGTGCCACTGTGCCCGGCCGGTAGCGGTGCAGCTTGCACTTGATTCCTGGGAGAAAAATAAGAGAAAGAAATTGCAAGCAACGAGAGAGGATGGAGAGACGTCTCAACACACTGGCGCGTTCGCCATTAGTGCCACTGTTCCCGGCCGGTAGCGTTGCGGCTTGCGCTTGATTCCTGAGAGCGGGATAAGGCGAACGCAATAGATGGAAGTAAGGGGGGAGGGTGAGGGGGGGAGGGGGAAGAGGGGGGGAGGGGGAAGAGGGGGGGAGGGAGAAGAGGGGGGTAAGGAGGCCCGCAGTCTTCTGGTACCTTCTAATCTCCATTAGTGCCACTGTGTCCGGCCAATAGCGGTGCGGCTTGCGCTTAATGCCTGGCGGAGAAAGGTAAGACAAACGGCGCAAACAACCAATAGACGGGACGGTGAGACGTCTCAGAACGAAGGGGCCGCCCTCCGTGCAGGACAAGTCGTGAGGCGCATTAATAACGAGGAAAACGAGTTTTGAGTCGACTCAAAGGCCGCCCTCCGTGCAGGACAAGTCGTGAGGCGCATTAATAGCGAGGAAAACGCCTCGAGCCTGCATCCAAGATGAGACGGACGGCATAACGAAGGGGAATCCGAGGGAGGAAGCGGCGGAAGGGGGGTGGGGAAAATGGGGAAGGAAGGTGGGGGGGGGGGAGGGGGGGCGAGGGGGGGGGGGAAGGGGGGATGGAGGAGGGACAAGAACGAAGCATGCGGAACGGGGATTAAAGCGAGACTCAAGTCTAACCACTAGCGTGCTTCACGGCTGTCAACTTGAAGAAAGTTTGTTGTGAGGCGCCGCAAATCAGACTTACTTTCAGTGGCGCATTTGCCATTGTCTTTCTGACATGACTTGGCTAGCATCAGGGCTGCTAGCCCAACCTTCAGCTATTCGAGGTGACTTTTGAGTCGCCTCAGAACATACTTAAGTTTAAATGGCGAATTTGCCACTATCGTTCTGCCATGACTAGCATCATGGCTGCTAGCCCAACCTTCAGGCATTTATGAACCGACTCATCAATCTTCTCCTGCTAGCCCAACCTTCAAACCTTTTTAATTCGACTCGTACACCATCTCCTGCTATTCCAACTTTTGGCTTTTCGGAAATCGTGAAAAGAATCTACGGTTATTTAATAGGCGTTACATCGAAAAATACACCCACACGGTAATCACCTCCGGGCGGGACCTCACACTCTGTCCGGAGCGCCTTTAACATTTCAAGCAAACAACGAGGTGCTTACCTTCGGGCGGAACCTTTCAGTCTGTTCCGCCCGGAGCGCCTTGAAAATATCAGAAAATAATAGGCGCTTACCTTCAAGCGGGACCTCACACTCTGTTCCGCCCGGAGCGCCTTGAATATTTCAGAGAGATTTAGGCGCTTACCTTTAAGCGGGACCCCCACGCTCTGTTCCGCCCGGAGCGCCTTGAATATTTCAGAACCTAGGGCCGCGCTCCGTGCAGGACAACTTGTGAGGCGCGTTGAATAAACTCACTTCCAAAACAGACTCACTTTCAATGGCGCATTTGCCACTGTCTTTCTGACATGACTAGGCTAGCATCATGGCTGCTAGCCCAACCTTCGAACTTTTTTTATCGACTTATACATTATCTCCCGCCAGCCCAATCTTCAACACTTCAAAAAAAAGTGGAGAGAACAATTCAGGCAAACCACGAGGCGCTTACCTTCAGGTGCTCTGGCTGTTTTTTTTGGAGTGCCTTTAGTGGCTTTAGCCGGCGTCGACGCCGCCTCTGCTGCCGCCGCCTCCGTCGCCGCCGCCGCCGCCGCCGCGTTTGCCTTGCTCCGCTTGGGCATGCGCTGCTTCGACCTCGCCATGCTTATAACGAATCAGAACTGTACGACGGAAAGACTGGCGTAGAAACTCTCTTGCTATATAAGGGGCACACAACTTCCAAGACAGATTTTCCCGACCACTCTCGAGGGCCCAACGCCTGATTTCCAGTCAACCCTTAAACGGATCAATAGATCTCCTCTGTCACACTGCTCCGTCAGAGCAGGGCATTTGCCAGCCGGACCGAGCACCCTTTGCTCCTGATCAAGTCTAAGAAACACAATACTTTCTATTCCTACGAAAATGTCAGAGGGGTCAATTTTATTACAGAATCTATGTTTAAAATTTAATCAAATAGCTATATCGCCTGAGCGGTAAGATAAGGATAGGCCCGGTGCATCAACGAGCGACGTGATTGCAGAGTAGGAACGAAAACCGAGATGGAAGCTGTTGGGCGTCCACTGAGCCTGTGCGTGAGAGGAGGAAGATGAAGGCAAAGAAATCGAAGTGCAGGTATGCAAATTGGCAGGGGTCTCTGTGACGTGCGTGTGCACGAGCCGGCATGATGCGGTTTAGAAGCGTATCATTACGATTTAGGACGTTTCGTATTAATTCGACGCGGTCGAAAATTTGCGCAAAGGATCCAAGGCCTGCTAAGCGGAACGAACGACATCGAAAGTGCGTGCGCGAAAGTGCAGGATCACAAAGGTTTGAGCAGCGCGTCGCCGGAGATGGAGACGCGTGGCAATCAGTTACCCAATCAGTAATGCTTGCGCCCTTCGTAATGAGGCAACCTACGTGCGCGCATGTTCTCTTGTTCTATTATATGAGAGTTCTTACAGAAAGAGCTCGTTTGCAGATGGTGAAAATAAACCATAGAAACTGGTGTGTCTGTAGATTTGGAATGATTACTTAGTACGTTACCTATAATCATTCTGTGGGTACAGATGAGGTCATAGGTTAATGTTATTGCTGCAAATACAGCTTCCATAACATAACATAGGGGGGATTCAACACTGTTATTAATGAAACGATGAGATTACAGACACCGAGAGATTAGAATCAATAAAGAGGTATGAGGGAAAACATAATGAGGTTAACATTTGTACGTAATACTGTATCATGCACTCATACCTATCCAAGGAACATGGCTAGGCAAGAAGACATCGTCTAATTTACTTACCAGGTGTTTGGACAAAATCGGGTACGGAAGGGTCCCTATCCATTCTTGGATAGTGCATCGACTTCAACTGAAGCAGTTTCTACCGCAGCCTCTGCAGCCTCAGCTGAGCTGGCCAACCCATGGGCTTTAAGGAGTTGAGTAAAAGACTCCACTTGAGCTGCATCAATCTTGTAAGGTGAATAACGTGCGGACGGGAATGCGCGAGAGGTGACATCCTCTCTAAAAGCGTTCAGCGCTTGTTGAATGGCCTCACCCACCTGGCCAAATGCCTTGCAGAACTTTGGGGTTACCTGCGCAGGATAGTAACAGAATGCATACCTCGTTACAACGATGAAATAATGAGGGCATACTCTAGGTGCTAATGCCCTGAGCAGGCATGGGTTAAGGTAGATACAAGCATAACTCATCCTGGAATGCAATAACGACGGAAACTTGAACACCCTGCCACCAGCCGTGGCATTACAGAAGAGGCGACCAACAGCATAAGGATTTGACACTCCAAAAGATATGGGCGTCTTTTGAGGTGCCTCAAAACGTGAGCACTCTGCCACCAGCCTTGGCATTACAGCAGAGGATACCAACAGCAAAAAAATTGTCAGTTTGAAAGATTTGGGTGTCGAAACATTTACCTTGGCATGGTGTGGATGTTGAATCATCCCCAGAAGGTCATGGTATACAAGCACCTGTATGCGAGGTAGCCATGGGTGTGTGTGGATGGGGATGGAGGGTTGGAAGGATGATGGTCATGACATATAAGCGAGAAGCTGGAACCAGAGGGAGCCATGGGAGAGGCAGCTGTGGGTGAGGCAGCCATGGGTGAGCGCCAGGGATGTGGGGTAAGAAGGAAAACATTTCTCTAGAGCAGCAACACGAGCACATCATGTGTGCACTGACCCATTCCCCTAGAGCAGCAACACGAGCACATCATGTGTGCACTGACCCATTCCCCTAGAGCAGCAACACGAGCACATCATGTGTGCACTGACCCATTCCCCTAGAGCAGCAACACGAGCACATCATGTGTGCACTGACCCATTCCCCTCGAGCAGCAACACGAGCACATCATGTGTGCACTGACCCATTCCCCTAGAGCAGCAACACGAGCACATCATGTGTGCACTGCCCCTAGAGCAGCAACACGAGCACATCATGTGTGCACTGACCCATTCCCCTCGAGCAGCAACACGAGCACATCATGTGTGCACTGACCCATTCCCCTAGAGCAGCAACACGAGCACATCATGTGTGCACTGACCCATTCCCCTAGAGCAGCAACACGAGCACATCATGTGTGCACTGACCCATTCCCCTAGAGCAGCAACACGAGCACATCATGTGTGCACTGACCCATTCCCCTAGAGCAGCAACACGAGCACATCATGTGTGCACTGACCCATTCCCCTAGAGCAGCAACACGAGCACATCATGTGTGCACTGACCCATTCCCCTAGAGCAGCAACACGAGCACATCATGTGTGCACTGACCCATTCCCCTAGAGCAGCAACACGAGCACATCATGTGTGCACTGACCCATTCCCCTAGAGCAGCAACACGAGCACATCATGTGTGCACTGACCCATTCCCCTAGAGCAGCAACACGAGCACATCATGTGTGCACTGACCCATTCCCCTCGAGCAGCAACACGAGCACATCATGTGTGCACTGACCCATTCCCCTAGAGCAGCAACACGAGCACATCATGTGTGCACTGACCCATTCCCCTAGAGCAGCAACACGAGCACATCATGTGTGCACTGACCCATTCCCCTAGAGCAGCAACACGAGCACATCATGTGTGCACTGACCCATTCCCCTAGAGCAGCAACACGAGCACATCATGTGTGCACTGACCCATTCCCCTAGAGCAGCAACACGAGCACATCATGTGTGCACTGACCCATTCCCCTAGAGCAGCAACACGAGCACATCATGTGTGCACTGACCCATTCCCCTAGAGCAGCAACACGAGCACATCATGTGTGCACTGACCCATTCCCCTCGAGCAGCAACACGAGCACATCATGTGTGCACTGACCCATTCCCCTAGAGCAGCAACACGAGCACATCATGTGTGCACTGACCCATTCCCCTAGAGCAGCAACACGAGCACATCATGTGTGCACTGACCCATTCCCCTAGAGCAGCAACACGAGCACATCATGTGTGCACTGACCCATTCCCCTAGAGCAGCAACACGAGCACATCATGTGTGCACTGACCCACTCCCCTAGAGCAGCAACACGAGCACATCATGTGTGCACTGACCCATTCCCCTAGAGCAGCAACACGAGCACATCATGTGTGCACTGACCCATTCCCCTAGAGCAGCAACACGAGCACATCATGTGTGCACTGACCCATTCCCCTAGAGCAGCAACACGAGCACATCATGTGTGCACTGACCCATTCCCCTAGAGCAGCAACACGAGCACATCATGTGTGCACTGACCCATTCCCCTAGAGCAGCAACACGAGCACATCATGTGTGCACTGACCCATTCCCCTAGAGCAGCAACACGAGCACATCATGTGTGCACTGACCCATTCCCCTAGAGCAGCAACACGAGCACATCATGTGTGCACTGACCCATTCCCCTAGAGCAGCAACACGAGCACATCATGTGTGCACTGACCCATTCCCCTAGAGCAGCAACACGAGCACATCATGTGTGCACTGACCCATTCCCCTAGAGCAGCAACACGAGCACATCATGTGTGCACTGACCCATTCCCCTAGAGCAGCAACACGAGCACATCATGTGTGCACTGACCCATTCCCCTCGAGCAGCAACACGAGCACATCATGTGTGCACTGACCCATTCCCCTAGAGCAGCAACACGAGCACATCATGTGTGCACTGACCCATTCCCCTAGAGCAGCAACACGAGCACATCATGTGTGCACTGACCCATTCCCCTCGAGCAGCAACACGAGCACATCATGTGTGCACTGACCCATTCCCCTAGAGCAGCAACACGAGCACATCATGTGTGCACTGACCCATTCCCCTCGAGCAGCAACACGAGCACATCATGTGTGCACTGACCCATTCCCCTAGAGCAGCAACACGAGCACATCATGTGTGCACTGACCCATTCCCCTCGAGCAGCAACACGAGCACATCATGTGTGCACTGACCCATTCCCCTCGAGCAGCAACACGAGCACATCATGTGTGCACTGACCCATTCCCCTCGAGCAGCAACACGAGCACATCATGTGTGCACTGACCCATTCCCCTAGAGCAGCAACACGAGCACATCATGTGTGCACTGACCCATTCCCCTAGAGCAGCAACACGAGCACATCATGTGTGCACTGACCCATTCCCCTAGAGCAGCAACACGAGCACATCATGTGTGCACTGACCCATTCCCCTAGAGCAGCAACACGAGCACATCATGTGTGCACTGACCCATTCCCCTAGAGCAGCAACACGAGCACATCATGTGTGCACTGACCCATTCCCCTCGAGCAGCAACACGAGCACATCATGTGTGCACTGACCCATTCCCCTCGAGCAGCAACACGAGCACATCATGTGTGCACTGACCCATTCCCCTAGAGCAGCAACACGAGCACATCATGTGTGCACTGACCCATTCCCCTCGAGCAGCAACACGAGCACATCATGTGTGCACTGACCCATTCCCCTAGAGCAGCAACACGAGCACATCATGTGTGCACTGACCCATTCCCCTAGAGCAGCAACACGAGCACATCATGTGTGCACTGACCCATTCCCCTAGAGCAGCAACACGAGCACATCATGTGTGCACTGACCCATTCCCCTAGAGCAGCAACACGAGCACATCATGTGTGCACTGACCCATTCCCCTCGAGCAGCAACACGAGCACATCATGTGTGCACTGACCCATTCCCCTAGAGCAGCAACACGAGCACATCATGTGTGCACTGACCCATTCCCCTCGAGCAGCAACACGAGCACATCATGTGTGCACTGACCCATTCCCCTCGCCTGCCCGCTACAGAGTGGGCCTGCTTCGATGGCGATGGTGGGAATGTCGGCAGCAGCTGTGACTGCTGCTGCCACCCGCCCACTATTGCTGTCCACACCAACCGTCACCCAACCCTCACCTGCCCACTGCAGAGTGGCCCTGCACCGATGCCGATGGTGGGAATGTCAACAGCGGCTGTGACTGCTGCTGCCACCACTGCTGGCATGCACTCAAGAACCACTGCGAAGCAGCCTGCCTCTTGTAATGCTTGTGCGTGCTGTACCACCTGGGCGAGAGAGGGGGAGGGAGAGGGTAAGCGCACTCAGCAATTCAGATGCCTGCCGCCACCACTGCTGGCATGCACTCCAACACCACTGCGAACCACCCACCCAGCTTACTGCAAGGCCTGAGAGTGTTGTACCACCCCTGAGTGAGAGGGAGGGAGAGTGGCGCAGAGTGACAGAGGCAATGTAGACTGACAAGTCAACTCCCTGCCATCACTGCCAGCATGCACTCCAGCACCAGTACAAAGCACCCTGCTTTCTGCAAGGCCTGAGAGTGTTATACCAACTAAGAGGGAACGTGAGGGCATGTGGTTTGGGTGCCAATGGAAAATGCGCTGCTGGCATGCAATTCAGCCCCCACCCTCCCCAGGTCCCACCTCCCCCAGGTGCCACCCACGTCGAGCGCACTGGCAGCGGATCTGCCCTGGGGGCGTGAGTTCACCACCCACCTCTAGAAACAAAGTTTTGAGACGTCTCAAAACTCAAAACTATTTTGAGACGTCTCAAAACTGTGAGTTCACCACCCACCTCTAGAAACAAAGTTTTGAGACGTCTCAAAACTCAAAACTATTTTGAGACGTCTCAAAACTGTGAGTTCACCACCCACCTCTAGAAACAAACATCCATGCAATGCAAAAACCACCTTCTCCACATCCCACCTCCCCTGGGTGCCACCCACCTTGAGCGCACTGGCAGCGGATCTGCCCTGGGGGCGGAAGTCCCCCAGCGAGCTGATGGCCTGTGGAGTGAGCCCCACATGGCCCATCACAGCTATGCCCACCTCAGATACCGCCCGCGCTGCTGCTGCTGCTGCTGCTGCTGCTGCTGCCCAGACCCACCACCCACCCCTGCAGTGCAGATCCCACCTCCCCCAGGTCTCACTTACCTTGAGAGCACTGGCAGCGGACCTCCCCTGGGGGCGGAAGCCCCCCAGTGAGCTGATGGCCTGTGGAGTGAGCCCCACGTGGCCCATCACAGCTATACCCGCCTCAGATACCGCCCGCGCTGCTGCTGCTGCTCGGACCCACCACCCCTGCAGTGCAGTTCCCACCTCCCCCAGGTCTTACCTTGAGCGCACTGGCAGCGGATCTGCCCTGGGGGCGGAACCCTCCCAGCGAGCTGATGGCTTGTGGAGTGAGCCCCACGTGGCCCATCACAGCTATCCCCGCCTCAGATACCGCCCACCCCCAGTCCCCACCTCCCCCAGGTTCCACCCACCTTGAGCGCATTGGCAGCTGATCTGCCCTGGGATCTGAAACCCCACCCAACACACCCAAAACTCCCTTCCGCACCCCCCGTTCCCCCTTCCTGCACCTCCCCCAGGTGCCACCTCCCACCTCCCACCTTGAGCGCACTGGCAGCCGATCTGCTCTGTGCAGTCTCCACCCCCCAAAGATCCCACCTCCCCCAGTTCCCACCTTGAGGGCACTGGCAGCGGATCTGCCCTGGGGACGGAAGCCTCCCAGTGAGCTGATGGCCTGCGGAGTGAGCCCCACGTGGCCCATCACAGCTATACCCGCCTCAGATACCGCAAGCGCTGCCGCCACCCGCGCTGGTATGCCCCCCTCTATCTTGACCGCGTCCATGTTACCCTCCTTTAACAGCCGCACTGCACTCTCCACTGCCTGAGAACGCATTGAGCAGGGGAGGGGGGAGAGCGAGGAGAGCATTGGTTGTGTTGTTGCCACAGCACGTCTGCCCATGTACCGCCATCTTATCTACTGCCTCACTAGCAGGCATCTTATCTACTGCCTCACTAGCAGGCATCTTATCTACTGCCTCACTAGCAGGCATCTTCCCCTCAGTTGCGGGAACCTCTGTAATTGCTCACTGGCCGCATGCTCAGCTCACCGGTCACACTCTCACCGGCCGCGCTCTTGCTTGCTGCGGGCTCTGCTCACCTGCTGTAGGCTCTGCTCACCTGCTGTAGGCTCTGCTCACCTGCTGCGGGCTCTGCTCACCTGCTGTAGGCTCTGCTCACCTGCTGCGGGCTCTGCTCACCTGCTGTAGGCTCTGCTCACCTGCTGCGGGCTCTGCTCACCTGCTGCGGGCTCTGCTCACCTGCTGCGGGCTCTGCTCACCTGCTGCGGGCTCTGCTCACCTGCTGCGGGCTCTGCTTGTATGTGCCAAAGGGAAGGTCGCCCACCAGCAACGGCCAAGATGCGCCCATTCCTGCTCACCTGCGCCCATTCCTGCTCACCTGCGCCCATTCCTGCTCACCTGCGCCCATTCCTGCTCACCTGCGCCCATTCCTGCTCACCTGCGCCCATTCCTGCTCACCTGCGCCCATTCCTGCTCACCTGCGCCCATTCCTGCTCACCTGCGCCCATTCCTGCTCACCTGCGCCCATTCCTGCTCACCTGCGCCCATTCCTGCTCACCTGCGCCCATTCCTGCTCACCTGCTGTGGGCTTTGCTCGTATGTGCCGAAGGGAAGGTCGCCAACAAGCAATGGCCGAGAGGCCCCCCGTGCCACCGCCCTGTGGGGGAGTGACCAAGGTACCAACGAACGGTAGGTAGAGAGGGTGGATGGGGAAGGAGTTGGTCACTCAACTTTCAACATGATCACACCCATTACAGTCACACATGCATGTATTCATCTGCATTATGATGCAGTGCGGCAGCATGTCATCCAGTGTGGTGGGCAGAGTGGTGTCATATCCATGCACCACCATGGCTGCACGCATTACTCAACTGTCAGTACAGTCACACTCGTTACAGTCACACGTGCATAAAATCACCTGCAGTATAATCACCTGCAGTGCAGCAGCATGTCGTCCAGTGTGATTGGCAGTGTGGTGTCATACCCGTGCACCACCATGGCAGCACACCACTCAATACAATCACACTGGCTACAGTCACATACATGCATATTATTATCACCTGCAGTGCAGCCGCATGTTGTCCAGTGTGATGGGCAGGGTGGTGTCATACCCATGCACCAACATGGCTGCAAACTACTCCATACAATCACACTTGCTACAGTCACATACATGACATAATCACCTGCAGTGCAGCAGCATGTCTTCAAGTGTGATTGGCAGCGTGGTGTCATACCCATGCACCACCATGGCTGCTGAATCGCCCACGAGGCAGATGTCTATGTCCGCCTGTCGGAAGGGGGAAAGGTGGAGAGGGGGAGAGGGGAGGGAGGGAAGGCGGGGAAGAAGCAGTAGTGGGGAAGGGAGAGCAGCTGGGGATGAAGGTGCTGTGTGTGCTCAATGCTCACCACCATGGCTGCTGAATCGCCCACCAGGCAAATGTCTATGTCCGCCTGAGGTTTGGGTTTAAGGGACACGGGGGAAGAGGTGGGAGAAGCAGGAGGAGAACAGAGACGTGGGACGGCAATAAACCCTGAACCCGAAATTGAGGAGGAGCTGTTAGTGTTAGCCCTCAATCTCACATTGTGTACTTGCACTTTTATATCCTAGTGTAGTGTGCACTTTGTGTTTGGTTGGGTGTACACCCACATCCCAACCAAACCCAAATGTGATCTCCAACCAATCTCCAACCCACCAATTGGAGATTGCCTTAGGATTACCCCCAATCCCCTAGGATTGCCCCCGATTCTCTCCCCACCCTTACCTTGCCCATTTCCAATGTACTTAAAGAGCCTTGAGCTCATTACTAATATATGGATTCTAAGCTCAAGTTCTAATAGGAGCACCATGGCTGCTGAGTCGCCTACCAGGCAGATCCCTGTCCGCCTGACGGTAGTCATAGGCTGTGACCATGGCGATGGGCTTGATTGTTATGTAATAGCCTTAGCTCTACCCAGACGCCCGTTTCTCACCATGTCCACCTGCCCACCCACCATTCATCATGTCAGGTGACAATGGTCTTTGTTGCTCTGAGATGCATGGTAACTGACACACACCGTACTGTCTACATCCCACCTCTTATCATGTCACCAGGCACTCAGCTCACCATGTCTACATGCACGGCAGAGGGGTAGTCATAGGCCGCGACCATGACGATGTGCTCGCCGCGCCGGTACTTGCTCCCCGTCACCTGCTGCTGCTGCCAGACCTCGGGCTCCGTTACTTAACACACTGACCTGCCTTTCTACATCCCACCTGTTACCATGTCACTTGACACACATCCTGTCTGTTACCACGCCAGGCCCGCCTCGGTTCTCACCATGTCCACATGCACAGCCGAGGGGTAGTCATAGGCCGTGACCATGACGATGGGTTCGCCCCGCCGGTACTTGCTCCCCACCTGCTGCAGCCTCACCCGCTGCCGCCCCGCCTCGGGCTTCGGCCCGCCATACACGGTGCTATCCGGGAGATTGGAAAAGGACCGATGGAGGGTCGTTTGGCTATATACCGTGGTGCGTAGGCGATGGGAAAAAGTTCGGCTAGCGAGTATACGCGAGACGCTGCTGAAATGAGATGGAGGGTGTGGAGGGAACGCTGGAGGCGGATGGGACGAGGGAGAGTGGCTGGGTGGCACGGGGGAGGAGCATGGAGACGATATGGTGAGCGTGGATGGCAGCGTGGATGGCGCAACAGCGGATGCGAGCTGAGGAGAGGAGGATGAAGCGGTGGGAGAATGGGGTTCATGGTGGAGGGAGGAGAGGCTGGAGATCGAGTGGGACAGGATGCGCGGGAGCTGCAGTGGGAATGGGAGAAGAGGGGAGAACGAAGGGAGTAGGAGAGGGGAAGGTGGCTTGTGGCGGATTGGCACAAGGGAGGTGCGATGTCTGCAAAACAGCGACGAATCCCCTCTGAAGAAGAATTTATTGGAGGTGACTGTCATAGCTCGCAGACAGACAAATCTGAATGATGCGAATAGGCATAATGACCAGTGGGAGAAGAACAAGCGTCCGCGAGACCAGCAGAAATCAAATACATTTACGGATGGAATCAGCATCACATAGCACAGAATAAGTCGGTTCTTGGCAAACCAGCACGCACCAGTGCTGACAACACGGCTGGGAAACGACTGGATGACGTCAGCTGCTGTAGATGCTGGGAGCGCAACGCCATGACGCTAAATGTACCGAACGACCTTTGAGTCCACACGATTAGGGGACAACGGACTAATGCAAGCGGTGAGAGGTGCGGTCGGTTCCAACAGATGAATCAAAAGACGCTTCTCAAGAGAGCCCGCCGGGAGTTCCGTTAGCACGATCAGGAGACGACGGACTCGTGATGCTAACGATGACGGATACGGTCGATTTCGTTCCGACTGACGATTTCAAAGAAGCTGCGGGAAAATGCGGGAAATGGGCCGCTTGGTCCGCGGTCGCTAGCAGTAGTCAGATATCCGTCTCCAGCGTCGTCCAGGCGTCGAGGGGTGGCTTAGCGTCCAGCAGCAACATGCAGTCGCGAAACGGGAGAATGCTTGCGGAGCTTTGTGATGTGATGCTAATCCAAGCAATCTGTCTGCAGTGCAGACGCTGCACCTCGAGAAAACAGCAACATCGAAAATCGGTGAAAGAATCTGCTGGATTCCTGATCCTGTAAGAAATCTGGGAATCTACCCTGAGTTCCCTTCTTCCAGCTAACTCGGGAAATTTTGGTGTGTAATATCGAGGGAGACATATGAGCTGTCACCAGGCGGAACAATCAAGCCGAGAATTCAGGTCACCAAATATTTCTTCTGTATTGAGGGTAACCCTTTCTAAAACCGTTTGCGAAAAGAGGTACCGTAAACTCCGTTTACCAACCCCAAAAGGGCGCTTTCGCGAAAGAGCCGTTGCAGACTGCGAACTGCTGCGTATCTCCTCGCAAATTCGGCAACCCCCTGGAGCGGATATTTGTTTCCTTGGTTCAATCACAATCGTCCTACTTCCAGAAATTTTCGAACGGCTTACATGGAGGAAATTCAGAAACTGAAGAACCTGAAGCTGAAGCCGCTCTTCGCTCATCGCTCTTCGTTCTTCGCTTCCCGCTGGCAGAGAACTCGACATTGCACCGTATCTTTGGTCTCTGGTCTACGCTGTATCTCGCTTCTGATGTAGGCTCATAAAACAACAGTGCTGACATATTTTGTTGATAGGCAACCTCTACAAGGCGCGACTCGTGGTTCGCATAAACAACTGTGTACAGGCGAAAATGGCGGAGCGGGCTTTAACGCAAAGAATAGCCAGCTCCGTTGGCGGTTTGATCGGCGATGAGAAGCGACTACAAGCGGTTAGTGAGTCTTAAAACTGTCAATGAGACATCCTGAAACCGCAATCTCCTTTCCACCGTCTGGGTCGGGACCTCCGTAGTTTATGCAATCTCAGTTTTCGGTTACGGCTTTCGGTTAGCAGCTCAGCAATAGAATATGTTGGATCTAGTCGATCTGATTTGTTCACTCGTGCCCAGCCCCTCGATGCTCGTGAGAAGCAATCATGTACGCAGTTTTTCTATACATTAATAAAATTCCGTTTCAGAGATCATGTGCCCTTCCCCTCCTCCATGCTCGTTGATCGCTCCACAGGAGATTGAGAGCAGCTCCGTGCAGCTGAAGCTGCTAGCAGAGGGAAAAAGAGTAATACGCGTCCCCCTTTCTTTCCTTCACTCTGCCCTCCCCTTCTCTCCCTCCGTCCATGCTTGCATTGTATCCCCATGCCTCCGCGCGCTCTGATCGCGCCGCAGGAGATTGAGAGCAGCTCCGTGCAGCTGAAGCTGCTGGCCGAGGCGATGGCGAAAGAGAGCAAGATGGAAAGGGTGAGAGTAGATTGGTTGAAGAATGTGAAGGGAAGTGGGGTATGGGGGAGGGGGGAGGGCGAAGGGGGGAGGAGAGAAGTTTGAAGTGGGGAAAATTGGGTTGGTATTGGGGAAGAGCAATGGGGGTGGTTGATGTTTGCTTTTTGACTCTTCTGTCCATCTTCCTCCACCTCTCCTCGTGTTTGCACTACGCTCTTGTTTGCGTCATTCATACCCTTGTTTGCGTTGTACCTTCGGTTTTCAGTCACGGCACCCCCTGGCTTGTGCTGCACCCTCGTCGTTATCACACCCTCGTTACTGTCACACACACAGGTGGCGGAGCTAGACGCAATGACTCGCAAGGTCTCATGAGATGTCGCTCCACCAGCATGCTATGGAGTAAAAAGCAGCTACCAGTATCACACCCCTGTTTGTGTGACATCCCCCTTTGTGTCACTCTCTCATTTGTGTCACACCCACGCCCACCCACAGGTAGCGGAGCTGGAAGCAATGACTCGCAAGGTGGTGGAGACGGCTCATGAGACGGCTTAGTGAGACACAACTACCAGTGCATTCTCATTTGTGTCACACCTTCGTTACTGTTACACCCACAGGTGGCGGAGCTAGAGGCAATGACTCGCAAGGTGGTGGAGACGGCCCATGAGATGTCTTTGCATCAGCAGGCTCTGGAGGCAGTGCGGGGCAGCTATCAATACACTGGAACAGTAATGTACTCGTTACAAACATGTAAACGTTATAAATATGTGCCATTGGTTATCAGGTTGTGCTGCGTCAGAGAGTAACGGTTCATGAGATGTCCCTGCACCACCAGGCACTGCTGCATCACTAGTGTATTGATAGCTGTCTTGAGACCAACGACTCATAAGAGAGTCTTCTGGTCACACGAGCTGTGGCATGCCACGCAACCTGTTCTTCCTCTCCACCCCTCTCCACTCTTCCCGACCCTTCTCCACCTTTCACCACCCCTCCCCACTGCTCCCCATCCCCCAGCCCACCAACCTCGAGGAACTCTTGCAGCAGCAGGTGGCACAGCTAGTGGCGGCTCAGCCCTGCCTCCCCACCCCTCCCCACCCCTCCCCATCCACAGCCCACCAACTTCGAGGAACTCCTGCAGCAGCAGGTGGCACAGCTAGGGGCGGCACAGCTGTGCCTCTGCACCCCTCTCCACCGCTCCCCATCTTTCACCACCCCTTCCCATCCTCCAGCCCACCAACTTCGAGGAGCTCTTGCAGCAGCAGGTGGCGCAGCTAGGGGCGGCTCAGCCATGCCCGGAGGACCACCACATTCTGGTGGCGTTCCGGCAAACCATTCGGGTGGGTTGTGAACGGTTCAGGGGAATGTGGGTGTTGAATAGAGAGGGGAAATGACACGGGCGGTTCAGCCATGCCCAGAGGACCACCAGATTCTGGTGGCGTTACGGCAAACCATCCGGGTGAGTTGTGAGCGGTATTGAGGGTTAAGTGGGTGTTGGATAGGGTGGCTCAGCCGTGCCCAGAGGACCACCACATTTTGGTGGCGTTCCGACAAACCATTCGGGTGGGTTGTGAACGGTAGTGAGGGGAGGGTGGGTGATGAATAGGGAGTGGAAGGGACAGGACACGGGAGGCTCAGCCGTGCCCGGAAGACCACCACATCTTGGTAGCGTTCCGATAAACCATTCGAATGGGTTGAACTTGAGAGCGGTCAAGAAGGGCGGCAGGGAAAGATGGGGGTCAAGGTAGACAGCAGGGTCCTGTAGCACGTTCTGCTACAGCCATGCCGGGAGGAACGACACATTCTGGTGGCGTTCCGACAAACCATTCGAATGGGTTGAACTTGAGAGCGGTCAAGAAGGGCGGCAGGGAAAGATGGGGGTCAAGGTAGACAACAGGGTCCTGTAGCACATTCTGCTACAGCCATGCCGGGAGGAACGACACATTCTGGTGGCGTTCCGACAAACCATTCGAATGGGTTGAACTTGAGAGCGGTCAAGAAGGGCGGCAGGGAAAGATGGGGGTCAAGGTAGACAACAGGGTCCTGTAGCACATTCTGATACAGCCATGCCGGGAGGAACGACACATTCTGGTGGCGTTCCGACAAACCATTCGAATGGGTTGAACTAGAGAGCGGCCAAGAAGGGCGGCAGGGAAAGATGGGGGTCAAGGTAGACAGCAGGGTCCTGTAGCACATTCTGCTACAGCCATGCCGGGAGGAACGACACATTCTGGTGGCATTCCGACAAACCATTCGAATGGGTTGAACTAGAGAGCGGTCAAGAAGGGCGGCAGGGAAAGAAGGGGGTCAAGGTAGACAGCAGGGTCCTGTAGCACATTCTGCTACAGCCATGCCGGGAGGAACGACACATTCTGGTGGCGTTCCGACAAACCATTCGAATGGGTTGAACTAGAGAGCGGTCAAGAAGGGCGGCAGGGAAAGATGGGGGTCAAGGTAGACAACAGGGTCCTGTAGCACATTCTGCTACAGCCATGCCGGGAGGAACGACACATTCTGGTGGCGTTCCGACAAACCATTCGAATGGGTTGAACTTGAGAGCGGTCAAGAAGGGCGGCAGGGAAAGATGGGGGTCAAGGTAGACAGCAGGGTCCTGTAGCACATTCTGCTACAGCCATGCCGGGAGGAACGACACATTCTGGTGGCGTTTCGCCAACAACTTGGGTGGGTTGGGAGTGGTCAAGAAGGATGGGTGGGTGTTGATTAGGGAGGGGGCAGGGTAGGGGCGGCTCAGCTGGGCCCAGAGGAGAGGACCACCGCAGGTCTTGTGACATAATTCTAAGCCTGACTAAGTTTGCTGCTCGCTTAGAATTATGTCACAAGACCAGGGGGCAGGGTAGGAGCGGCTCAGCTGGGCCCAGAGGAGAGGACCACCACATTCTGATGGGGTCTCGTCAAACCTTTCTGGTGGGTCGCCCATGAGTTACAGAATATGGGATCGTGGTGGGTCGCCCATGAGTTATAGAATATGGGATCGTGGTGGGTCGCTGATGTCAAAAGGGGGAGGTCAGGGCGAGAAAGGGTGTGGGAGGCATGTTTAAAAATCAAAATATGTTAAAAACGAATGCAGGAGGGAGGTGGGAGGCGATGTATGGAGATGGCGATGTGCATTGCGATACGGTTGTTCCTGTGTAAGCCTTTTGCTTTGAAACTGGGAGAAAACGCACACTCACACTCTCTTCTCTTCCCCTCAATGCAGAGTGTGGGGCAGGGAGGGGGAAGGTGCTGGGATGATGACGACGAGGATGATAGGCTGTTTTCTCTGTCCCCCTCCTCCCTTCCTTCTCATGCTAACCTCCCTGCATTCCTCATTGCAGAGTGCAAGGCAGGGAGGGGAAGGCGGGGGGGATGATGATGATGAGGAGGACGAAGTCATGAGTGTTCTCTGCTCCTGCACCCTGCTTCCTCCTTCCCTCCTCTCTCCCCCTCACTGCAGAGTGCGAGGCAGGGAGGAGAAGGAGGGGGGGATGATGATGATGAGGACGATGAAGTCATGATGACAACCAATCTGATTGTTAAAAATCCTAACTGCCCAATCACCATGCGCCACGTGGAAGACCTGGATGATCCTGTGTGCTGGTGAGGGATCCTCCTTCCATCCTGTCTGTTGGCGTGAAAACCTGGTGCGTCTGATGGTCATCCATGTTGAGTATTCTCAGAACCTGGTGATTCTGTTGGGCGTCGTTTTTTAGAATTCTTATAACCTGGTGTTTCTGATGGTCGTTCTTTAGCTTGCTGCTTCGTTTCTCTTCCCCTTTCCTCAGTACCCCTCTCCTCCCTCCTCTCCCCCCGGCTTTCCCCTTGTTAGTAACCATGTAAGATTTGGATGGTCACCATGTTTGCGAGATGAGAGGCATCTAGGAACAAGTACCCATATATTTTGAGGCGCCTCAATTTTTGAGTCGATTTTTGAGTCGATTTTTGAGTCGATTTTTGAGTCGACTCAAAAAAGTACCCATATATTTTGAGGCGCCTCAAAATACACCTCAATGCACTAGGAACAAGTACCCATATATTTTTCCCATTCGTCCCCCATCTTCCCCTTTCTCTCCCTCCGCCCCCCTTCTTCCCCCTTCTTCTCAGCACTTCTTAGCCTATCTTCCGTCTCAGCTTGGATTGTCGCCATGTGTACGAGAAAGGCACAACTATGGAAGTCATTTGAGAAAAAATGATTTTCCCACCCCCCCCATTTCCCAACTTCCCCTGCTCCCCTTTACCATCCATCCCCAGTCTCAGCTTGGATTGTCGCCATGTGTATGAGAAGAGCATTATGTTGGAGATTTTCAAAACACTTTCCCCTCCACTTCCCCCCTCACCCCCCCCCCCCCCCCCCCCCCTCTCCCCACTCACCTTAGCTTGGACTGTCGCCATGTGTATGACAAGAGCACATTTTTAGAAATTATATCTGTAAAGACTATATATCCTCAATACCCCACTCCCCCCATTGCCCTCCTTTTCTTCTGCACCACCGCCTTTCTCAGCTCGGATTGTCGCCACGTGTAGATCCATATTGAAAATCACATCCCAACGCACTATATTCCCGACCCCCCATTCCCCCCATTGCCCTCCTCTTCTTCCTCACCAATCGCCTTCCACAGCTTGGATTGTCGCCACGTTTATGAGAAGAGCACCATATAGGAAGCTATATGTCAAAGCTCTATATCCCCAACCCCCCATTCCCCCCCACTGCCCTCCTCTTCTTCCTCACCAATCGCCTTCCACAGCTTGGATTGTCGCCACGTTTATGAGAAGAGCACCATATAGGAAGCTATATGTCAAAGCTCTATATCCCCAATTCCCCACTTCCCCCTTTTCCCTCCTCTTCTTCTGCACCACCGCACCTTTCTCAGCTTGGATTGTCGCCATGTGTATGAGAAGAGCGCAATATTGGAAAATATGACCCAGAGCAGAAATTGCCCTGTCTCTGGTAAGATTTCCCAGCTACATCCTATTCTGTGAACAAATCAGACATGCTAAACCGCAATGGTGGCTCCCTTTCCTCTCTCCAACTTGTACAATTGGCCTGGTTGTGGATACAGCAATGGTTCATACTACATATGTAATTCCTCTTTGCTTTTTTACAGGTTGCCGTCAGAGGTTGAGTCGGGACCGCTTGGTGTGTGACACTGAGTTGATGATGGCACTGAGGGAGCTACGCACAAGGAAAGCTACTGCAACTGCAGCTCCAGAAGAGATTGATGACCTGTAGTGAAGAGCTGCCGTCTTAATGTATTCACAGGTTGTCAAAGGTTGTCGTGAGAGTTTGAGTCGGGACCGCTTGGTGTGTGACACTGAATTGATGATGGCATTAAGGGAGCTACGCACAAGGAAAGCCACTGCAACTGTAGCACCAGAAGAGATTGATGACCTGTAATGGCATCTGATCGTTTGCATTGCTCTATCTCAGACACGCAAGCTTGATAATTCTGGTGTAATGATTGGAAAGCTAAAGAGCAAGTAGTGGAGTCTGTACTCTCAAATTTTTTATTTTGCATGGGCGCTTCCGTAAGAGCTTTTAATGAGGATTTGAGGCAAATTTCAGACCCGTTTCACACAACTAGAAATCATGCGGAATCATGATTCTGCACCTTGACGTTCGGACTTGATCGACCCGAAATCTGACCTCAGGCTCGATCTGACTCGCACCCTCTTTGTTCGGCTCACAAATTGTCACTAACTGTGAACCGACGCAGCACTGCCGTTTGGTTGGCTTATGCAATTGTGCCAATGAAGCTGCAGGTTCGTTTTCGGTAGGTTAATGATCTGGTGTTACAGAAGCTCCTTACCAAAATGCTGTTGTCCAAACACCCCATGCGTTGAGCTGAAGGTGGTTTTGATGTGATTCTCAACGGCTGATGCCACCTCCGTTCCAACGAATGGCAGGATGAGATCGTTACTGTCACAACCCCCCGCCAGCTTGGCGCGCAGCGTGCCGTGCGCAGCCACATCCCGAGAAGCTTCCAGAACATGCAGCTGTCGCACGATCGCTTGGGCGACACAAAACCGTCGCACTGTCGCTTTGGCTACTCGCGGCACGAGCACGGCACACGTTCGGGTAAACAGAACCACCACCATCAGCAGAGCCGGTAGCCATAGTAGCAGCGGGGCCGGCGGGAGCGCGAAATCGGGGAAGAATAACCGGAAAGGCGGAGCTAAAGGCGCGGGAAAATCGGCGGTGGCTGGTGCGGGTTCAGCAGCAGGGGGAGCGAGAAAGCAGGTAGAGTGAAGGGAAGTGGGGTGTTAGAAGGAAGAGGAGAACGTAAAGCAATGAATCGGGAAGTCGAGAGAAAGGGGAGGGACAAAAGCGGGCGACTTTTGAGTCTACCCAAAGTCGCGAGGAGGAGATCAGATTTTAGGGGAGTAGGGAATCGAGACTCGGTAGGGACTAGCGAGGTAGCGAGGAGGTATTTTGTTTTCGAGACTCCTCGATCTTTTATGCGGCTGCATTTCAGGCGCGTTAGGAATGGAAGGGCTGGGGGAAGATGCGATGGGGAAAAGAACGTTTCGAAGAGTCAAGAAATACAAGGGCTAAATTCGGGGTTGAGGAGAAAAGGAATAGAAATGGGTCCAGAGGAGCTTATTCTTTTACAATGGATGAGGGAAGGAAATCATTTATGGGAGAATGCGACAGAATTTCTAGGGTTTCGAGACTTGGGGTTTAGTGAGGGCAAAGGGGCGTTGCAAAGACAGTAGGAAGCAGATTAGTGTTGAAGGCTGAGCCAATCATAGGATTTGTAGGGCTCGGTTAAGATTAGTGGCAGGGTTTTCGGTCTCAGGCAGGGGTTTTGCGAGGGTTTCTCATCCCACGCACCCCTTGTTCCCACACCCTTTGAATGAATTTGACCATATATCCCTCTGCAGGCGAACAGAGAAGAGGAGGTGGTCGAGGATAATGACAAAAAATAAAAGATAATAAAAATCTCCCCAACTACTACTCATCACTCACACTCCTTTGTTGCTCACACCATCTCCTTCACCTTCTGGCAGGCGAGCAGAAGAGAGGAGGCGGACGGTGATGAGAGCGAGGAGGAGAAATTCTGGGGTAGAGGAGGGGGAGGAAGAGGAGGGAGTGATATGGAGGAGGATGACGATGAGGGGGATGGGGACTCGGAGGAGGAAGAAGCGCTGAAGCTTCCCATGCCCAGCCCACCGGCAGGGTTTGTGCTGGACGATGAAGGGGAGGTGGTGCTGGCTGCACCTGCCGAGAGGAGAACGCTCACCATTGTGATTGTCTGTTGTTGTTAGTGATGAGTGCCATGCCAACCATGTCAACAGTCCATTGTGGGCGGGGTTTGTGTTGGACGATGAGGGAGAGGTGGTGCTGGCTGCACCTGCCGAACGACGAACGCTGACCATCGTCAGTTAATGTGTCGAGGTTATCACTATGTCAAAAATCCACCGGCAGGGTTTGTCCTGGATGATGAGGGGGAGGTGGTGCTGGCTGCTCCTGCATTTGCTGAGAGGAGAACATTCACCATTGTGAGTGTTGGCCTGTGCTGCTGCTCATGCCGTAGTGGTTGGGTAGTTACTAGCTAGTTACCCATAGCAGCAACACAACTGGTCCACCGGCAGGGTTTGTCCTGGACGATGAGGGCGAGGTGGTGCTGGCTGCACCTGCTGAGAGGAGAACACTCACCGCCGCTGTGAGTGTCGGCCGGCCTGATCTGCTGTTAGCGCTGCTGGGTGGGTACCATGACACTTTTTTGGCGATTTCACCGCTCTCATTGCCCTTCATTCTCCCTTCCACCCGCCCTTGCTTTCCTTCAACATACAGCATGACCCCATCACCACCCGGTCATAGGATTGTGTCATTCAACGCGCTTTCTTCAGCATTCATGTATGCCCTGCCCGCTCTCACCTCTCCCCCATCGCATCCCATCTTCCTCCTTCTCGTCTGCAGCACGACCCCATCACCAACCGCTCATTGGATTGTGTCATGCCATGCCTTCCCAACACTCATTTTCTCATGCCTTCCCATCTTCCCTTCTCCCTTCCCTGCAGCACGACCCCATCACCAACCGCTCATTGGACTGTGTCATTCGACGCGCCTTCTCCAACTCGCTTAACGTCCCTTTCTTCCTTCTCCACCCGCTCGACACGTGCGTTCCCATTCCCATGCTTCTTTTGACTAATTATTGGCTTTGAAATGTCTCTATATGCCTCCCCTGTTTCTCCAACTCGCTCGGATTCCCCTTCTTCCTTCTGCACTCTCTCGACACGTGTGTTCCGTTCCCTTACCTCTTTGTTATGATGATCGAGTTTTGAGACGTCTTTATACCTTTTTTTTACTTCTCCAAACTTGCCCCGTACCTCTTGAACCGAATTTGAGTCGACTCAAACATCGCCTCGTTACACGTGGATTATATGTGGAAAGATGTTTGACACGTGTCGATGCTTCTTCTCTACTTCTCTACTTCTCCAAACAAACTCGCCCAGCTCATCTTGAACCTCCAAAATTCACTTTCCTGCCCCACCCTCTCGACACGTGCCGATGTCTCTTCATCCCGCCCGCTTCACCCCACTTTCCCACCCGCTTCACTCAGTCCCATAATGTTCTTCCGCATCTTGGGAAGAACAGGCGAGGTACAGGAGGTGGACGACGGGGAGGCAGAGCCAATCGTGCTGGCTCAACTCAATCCCCCTCTTCTCCCCTCTCCTCTTCTCTCTGGTCTGCCCACCTCTCCAGGCCTATAATGTTCCTCCGCATTCAGGAAGAACAGGCGAGCTCCAGGTAGATGATGAGGAAGCAAAGCTGATTTATGGCGGCTCACCCACATCTCCTTCCCCTCCTTTCCACTTCTCTCCGCCCCCCACTCTCTCCAGCCCTATAAAGTTCTTCCGCTTCTCTGGGCGGGCGGACGGGCGAGCTGCAGGGAGCCACTTTTGAGAAATTTCTAGATTTTGAGAATTATTTTTCACTTTTTTATTTGTTTGTTTTGATTTGTTTTTTATTTGTTTTTTATTTGTTTTTTGTTTGATTTTTTGTGCTGTTTTTTGTTTTAGTATATATATAATTAATGATTGTGAGAATTCTTTTGAGATTTATCAAGAGTGACTTCCACATCTCTGAGCGGGCGGACAGCGAGCTTCAGGAGGTGGATGATGAGGAGGCGGAGCGAATCATGCCCAATCACCCCCTTTCTCCTCCTCCCACCCCCCCTTCTCTCCACCCGCCACTCCCTCCAGTCCCATCGTCTTCTTCCACATCTCGGGAAGAACGGGCGAGCTTCAGGAGGTGGATGATGAGGAGGCGGAGAATATCGCGCCCTCTCAGCCCCTCTCAGCCCCTCTCTTGAGGCGCCTCAAATATCGTGCCCTCTCAGCCCCTCTCTTGAGGCGCCTCAAATATCGTGCCCTCTCAGCCCCTCTCCCCACTCCCCTTCTTCTCTTCGACCACCTCCCCCTCCAGCCCTATAATGTTCTTCCGCATCTCGGGGAGAACGGGTGAGCTGCAGGAGGTGGATGATGAGGAGGCGGAGCGGATTATTCCCGCTGCTGCATACGCTCTCGCCAAGAAGAGCCTTCATTTGACACCTACAGGGTGAGACCACGGGGTGACGTGCTTTTGAGTCAACTCAAAAACAGACGTGTTCTTGAGTCGACTAAAAAAAACAGACGTGGTTTTGAGTCAACTCAAAAACAGACGTGTTCTTGAGTCGACTAAAAAAAAACAGACGTGGTTTTGAGTCGACTCAAAAACAGACGTGTTCTTGAGTCGACTAAAAAGAAACAGACGTGGTTTTGAGTCAACTCAAAAACAGACGTGTTCTTGAGTCGACTAAAAAAAAACAGGCGTGGTTTTGAGTCGAATAAACAGAAAAAAAACTTGTTTTGGGTCGACTCAAAATACGCTCTCGCCAAGAAGAGCCTTCATTTGACATCTACAGGGTGAGACCACGGGGTGACGTGACAGCCAGTTGGGGTGACAGGCTGAGAGGGGGGGCTGAGATGAGGCTGTCGCTGCAGGAGGTGGATCGTTCCCGCTGCCGCTTATGCATTAGCCAAGCAAAGCAAAGCCTTCATCTGATCTGACGCCCTCTGGTTGAGATGATGTTAGGTGGGAGGGAGGCTGGGTGTGTCAAGTCAATCTCTCCATGAGAATAGGCGAGCTTCACCGTCGGCCTCTCTTCACACATTCTTTTCTTCTGTCTCCCATTCTGCCCGCCATCCCACCCCTCATCCAACCCCCCTTCCCCATCCCTTCTCGCAGCTTCACCCTCACCCTCAGAGGAGCCATCTGCTTCACAGAGGATGACGTCATCAACCTGGACACTGGTGAGGCATGCTGAGGTCATGCTGAGGGTGTGGTCGTGTCTGTTCAAAAGGCGTGATTTCAAAAGCTGCATTCCCTCCTTTCTTTCTTCCTTCCTCTCGCATTCCCCTGTTTCTTTTTTTATTATTAACAATAATATTATTACTATTTTGGTTAGGCGGATCAAAACTCTTCCTTCCTCTTGCATGCCCTGTGCTGTGCACTTGTTGCAACTGCAGAGCTGGGGTTTGGCATCGGGGGCTCCCTGGCTGAAGGCGTTGACATCACCACGTTCCTGTCTGTAAGTTGTGCTTCACGAAGTGGTTGAATTGGTTTGGAAGTGATTTTTGAGGCGCCTCAAAAGTTCACCAAGTGGTTGAATTGGTTTGGAAGTGATTTTTGAGGCGCCTCAAAAGTTCACCAAGTGGTTGAATTGGTTTGGAAGTGATTTTTGAGGCGCCTCAAAAGTTCACCAAGTGGTTGAATTGGTTTGGAAGTGATTTTTGAGGCGCCTCAAAAGTTCACCAAGTGGTTGAATTGGTTTGGAAGTGATTTTTGAGGCGCCTCAAAAGTTCACCAAGTGGTTGAATTGGTTTGGAAGTGATTTTTGAGGCGCCTCAAAAGTTCACCAAGTGGTTGAATTGGTTTGGAAGTGATTTTTGAGGCGCCTCAAAAGTTCACCAAGTGGTTGAATTGGTTTTGGAAGTGATTTTTGAGGCGCCTCAAAAGTTCACCAAGTGGTTGAATTGGTTTGGAAGTGATTTTTGAGGCGCCTCAAAAGTTCACCAAGTGGTTGAATTGGTTTGGAAGTGATTTTTGAGGCGCCTCAAAAGTTCACCAAGTGGTTGAATTGGTTTGGAAGTGATTTGAAGTGGCTTGAAGTGGTGAGACGTGGTTTGAAGTATGCACCATGCACCTGAAAGTTGGAACTGCAGAGCTGGGGTTTGGCATTGGGGGCTCCCTGGCTGAAGGGGTCGACATCACCATGTTCCTGTCCGTGAGTTCTGCTTCTCCTAGCGGTTTCAGAGGTGGTTCAAAGTGGTTTGAGGTGGTTATAGGTGGGTTGAGTGGATTCTAGAAAATACCCTACACCGAGACTGCAGAGCTTGGCATCAGTGGTTTGAGGTGGTTTGAAGTGGTTCGCTCCCTCAATGCAAACCAACCCCCCTGCACCCAACCGAACCCCTCGCCAGGGTGGGCAGGAGTACACGATTTACACGCCCTGTAGCCCTCTCATGTTCTTTGAGGACTTTCAAAAAACAAGTGTACCCTATCCATCCCTGCGAGCACAAGTACATAGAATACACGCCCTTTCGACCCTCACATGTTAGTCTGACTGACACTACCCATCACTCCTCCCCTATTCATGCCAGTGCATCCGCCCTGTTACCATCCTCTCACCCACCCCTCCACCAGGGCGGCCAGGAGTACATGATATACACGCCCTTCGACCCACTCATGTTTGTAGTATACAAGGTACAAAGAACCCTTCTTCTGGCTTTCAATCCGTCCTCGATACTGATAGCCTCTTTGTTGCTGCCCGTGTCCTGCTGTAGCTTTTTATCTTTATCAGTATCTTGTTGGCCTTATCTCAGTGTTTCAATAATATTAAATTTATCATCACACTGTGTGTCCCCTTGTTTCCCGTGTACTTTTTATTTGTTCCCAATCAGGACCCTAAGGCCAGTGAGATTCTTGTGGCTGAATTTTGAGTCGACTAAAAAAATGTCCCCTTTATCCCTTGTCTTTTTTATCTATTCCCAATCAGGACCCTAAGACTAGCGAGATTCTTGTGGCTGAAGATCCTGTAAGTCCATTTTGGTGTTTACCTTTTTTTTTCTTTATTTCATTATTTCTTTATTTTCTTGAGGTATGTCTGGTAAAAAAAAAAAAAAAAAAAAACACACACACACACACAAGTGTACAGCCAAGTTCACATTGGTTCAAATCTCCCTCCCTCTCTCATCCAATCAGGAGCTTCTGAACGATCCCAAGGTGTTGGATGCAATTGATGAGGAGCAGCAGTTCCAAGCCATGGTGGTGAGCTGTGCTGCGGTGGTGTGTTATAGTGGTGGTATGGTGGTGAGCTGTGCTGGGGTGGTGTGTTATGGTGGTGAGCTGTGCTGGGGTGGTGTGTTATGGTGGTGAGCTGTGCTGGGGTGGTGTGTTATGGTGGTGAGCTGTGCTGGGGTGGTGTGTTATGGTGGTGAGCTGTGCTGAGGTGGTGTGTTATGGTGGTGAGCTGTGCTGGGGTGGTGTGTTATGGTGGTGAGCTGTGCTGGGGTGGTGTGTTATGGTGGTCAGCTGTGCTGGGGTGGTGTGTTATGGTGGTCAGCTGTGCTGGGGTGGTGTGTTATGGTGGTGAGCTGTGCTGGGGTGGTGTGTTATGGTGCTGGGGTGGTGTGTTATGGTGCTGGGGTGGTGTGATGCCGTGATGTGGTGAGTATCAGTTGATGTGAATTAAAGTGTGTGCTATCAAGGTGTTGGATGCGATCGATGAGGAGAGCAGCATTTTCAAGCCATGATGGTGAGTTGTGCTGGGGTGGTGTGTTATGGTGGTGAGCTGTGCTGGGGTGGTGTGTTATGGTGGTCAGCTGTGCTGGGGTGGTGTGTTATGGTGGTGAGCTGTGCTGGGGTGGTGTGTTATGGTGCTGGGGTGGTGTGATGCCGTGATGTGGTGAGTATCAGCTGATGTGAATTGAAGTGTGTGCTCTCAAGGTGTTGGATGCGATCGATGAGGAGAGCAGCATTTTCAAGCCATGATGGTGAGTTGTGCTGGGGTGGTGTGGTGGTGCTGCTGGTGTGATGTGGTGCTGTGCGCTGTGCATGAATCAAACCGTGCCATTTAGGTGCCCAGTTTCAAGCCGAGTGGTGAGTTCTCCTCTCCTCTCCTCTCCTCTCTCCTCTCCTCTCCCCTCCTCTCCTCTCTCCTCTCCTCTCCTCTCCTCTCCACTCCTCTCTCCTCTCCTCTCCTCCTCTCTCCTCCTCTCTCCCTCCTCTCTCCTCCTCTCTCCTCTCTCCTCCTCTCTCCCTCCTCTCTCCTCCTCTCTCCTCCTCTCTCCTCCTCTCTCCTCCTCTCTCCCTCCTCTCTCCTCCTCTCTCTTTCCTCTCTCCTCTCTCCTCCTCTCTCCTCTTGACAGGAGGCAGAGGAGGAGATGGAGGCAACACTGGAGCAGACTGCAAGGCAGGCAGCCTTATAAACCTGCTCTCCTCATGCCCTATCCCTTCCTCTTTCCCCCTCTGCTCTCCATGCACCCTATCTCCTCTCCCCAGGAGGCGGAGGAGGAGATGGAGGCAACACTGGAGCAGACAGCAAGGCAGCCACCCCAGAAGAGCAGGCAGCAGCAGCAGCAGCAGGCACCTGTCAGCTCAAGGAGGGGCCGATAGTTTTCTACAAAATTTTATAGGGGGTGGGCTAATAATTGAGGATTTTTATAAGCGCTGGGGCTTATATAATTACTTCTATGAAATCTAGTTTTATTTACTAAAGTGTTCATCTCGTCCTTGCGATTTGAATCGAATCGATATTGTAGAGGGCAATCAATGTGAATTTAGCGTAAATTGGTAGTGGCTGAATCCCTGCCAACACACAGAGTCAGAATGAGTCAGATTGACCCCATGACAGCTCATTCTGACTGGACGCGAAGGCATTGAGTCGCGCGAGGGTGAAGGGATTCGAAATTCTGAATGTGGGGATGCAAAATTGTGTTTCGTTACAGCGTTTCCAGTCAAAATAAAACAAATATTACAGAGGGTGGCGCTTATAATCCGTAAGCCGTTAGGGGTGGGCTTATAATCGAGGACCGGATATAAGTGCCATAAGCCTTTTATAAGCGCCGGCGCTTATCATAGGCCTGCACTTCTATCCAGGGGCTTACGGTTCTAGATCATTCGATTTGATTTGCGACGGTAAACTTAGAGAAAAATCCTTTGTCACAAGAAATCACTGCACTGGCTGACACGGGCCACAGAAATATATTTTCCACGCAGTGATTTGAGCAACTTGCTTTGGAATTCACACTGACAAAATTTGGTTTTGGTCGACTCAATAATCAATCCATGACCACAACACATCGAATGGTCTGAAAGCGCTCGTCCAGGCGCTGCCAGCTGGAGGCTGTGTTTAGAGCACCTCAAAGTCATGTCGAAAGGCGCTCATACGGTAGCTTCAATTGTTATCTAGGAGGAAGCAATGAAGTCAACCACGCAGCGGATGCTCTGAAACAGCTCGTCCAGCCGCTGCCAGCTGGACGCCTGGGCTTCTTTGAGGGCAGGCAGCTTGGCGCGCAGCTGGGGGAAGGAGGAGATGGCTGACCCGTGGATCTGCAGAGGAAGAGCGATACAGGAGAAGAAAAGGGAGGAACACAGGAACGGCTGAAGTGGAACAGTGCTGTTGTATTGAGTCAGTTAGAAAGGGCTGCTCTGAGGGCAGGCAGCTTGGCACGCAGCGCAGCTGAGGGAATGAGGAGATGGCTGACCCGTGGATCTGCGATGGGGGGAAAAGACACAGGGGGAACACAAAGTCAGAAACGTCGTGCAGATCCCCTTGGAAGGGGCTGTCATCGACCATCTCGTTTGGATGCAGCTCCAGATCTCATACCTTAAACCCTCAACTTTGACCCATAAACCCTGAACCCCCTGAATTACCCTAGCCCTGATCCACACTCCCACACATGGCCATGCACCCACCGCCAGAAATCGGTGCATCATGGCTTGTAGCAGCTTGAAGTCGCAGCTTCCTCGAAGCTTCCCCTCAAGAAAGCACATGAAGAGAGCCACCCGGTTCAGGTCTGCCGAGGAGGGGCTGTCATCAACGATCTCGATCGCCCACCTCCCAAACCCCAACCCTTAACCCCTTAGCAATACACATTAAACCCTAAACCCCTGAAACATAGAGCCCTAGCAGCCCTAGTTCTCATTCCCACGCAACCACGCATGTACCGCCAGGAATCGGTGCGTCACGGCTTGCAGCAGCTCAAAGTCGCAGCTTCCACGAAGCTTCCCCTCGAGGAAGGACATGAAGAGAGCCACCCGGTTCAGGTCTGCCGGCGAGGGGCTGTCATCGACGATCTCGATCGCCCGCAGCTCCAAATCAACGGCTGACGGCGACATGGCTTTCAGCAGGGCCATGGCTTGGGAGTCTGTTAATCGACGAGAGAGCGCAGTGGAGAAGAGAGAAGGGAAAGAGATTTGAGTGAGATGACGAGGGAAAGAGAGTCGGGGCATCTCAAGATCAACGGCTGACGGCCACATGGCTTTCAGCAGAACCATACCTTAGGAGTCTGAGAAGGGGATGGAGAGGAAAACGGGACGAGAGAAGGAATAGTGAGAAGGCGGAGAGAGATGGAAGAGAGGCGAGGAGGGAGATCGAGTAGGGAAGATGTTGAGTGAGATCAACGGCTGATTGTGCTTGGCTTTAAGCACTGCCATGGCTTTAAGCACTGCCATGGCTTTAAGCACTGCCATGGCTTTAAGCACTGCCATGGCTTTCAGCACTGCCATGGCTTTCAGCACTGCCATGGCTTTCAGCACTGCCATGGCTTTCAGCACTGCCATGGCTTTCAGCACTGCCATGGCTTTCAGCACTGCCATGGCTTTCAGCACTGCCATGGCTTTCAGCACTGCCATGGCTTTCAGCACTGCCATGGCTTTCAGCACTGCCATGGCTTTCAGCACTGCCATGGCTTTCAGCACTGCCATGGCTTTCAGCACTGCCATGGCTTTCAGCACTGCCATGGCTTTCAGCACTGCCATGGCTTTCAGCACTGCCATGGCTTTCAGCACTGCCATGGCTTTCAGCACTGCCATGGCTTTCAGCACTGCCATGGCTTTCAGCACTGCCATGGCTTTCAGCACCGCCATGGCTTTCAGCACCGCCATGGCTTTCAGCACTGCCATGGCTTTCAGCACTGCCACGGCTTTCAGCACTGCCATGGCTTTCAGCACTGCCATGGCTTTCAGCACTGCCATGGCTTTCAGCACTGCCATGGCTTTCAGCACTGCCATGGCTTTCAGCACTGCCATGGCTTTCAGCACTGCCATGGCTTTCAGCACTGCCATGGCTTTCAGCACTGCCATGGCTTGTGGCCTTTTACTAACAAAGCCACTCACAGTCCCGTGCATGTAGTGAGTGAGTCAAGGTCACATCAGTTCAATGTCCATCTCAACATCCTCCAGACCTCCCCTCTGTGAGGTACATTCCCCCGGCCCCTCTGTGAGGTACATTCCCCATGCATGCAGTGAGAGAAAAGGCATTGTCACTCATGGTGGAAGGGCAGCAGTACTAAAGAAACGCTTTAGCAAGTAAGAAAGAGAGTAAAAATTCCCTAGCTAAGAGAACTCGATCGCAAGAACTGTATCCATTTCAGACTCCTTCTGATCTTCCCTCTGTGAGGTACATTCCCCCGGCCCCATGCACGCAGTGAGAGGCAAGGCACTCACAGTCTGCTGGCTCGCTCTGTGCTCCTCGTCTGATCGCCCTCATCAGTTCAGTGTCCATTTCAGATTCCTCCAAACCTTTCCCCTGTGGGGGTGCATTGCATGCCCCACCCTCACCAGAGTGTGGCGTGTGAGAATCAGAGTGAGAGAGGGTAAAAGAGGGAGACAAGGCACTCACAGTCTACAGGGTCGCTCTGTGCTCCTCTCCTGATCGCCCTCATGAGTTCAGTGTCCATTTCAGATTCCTCCATACTTTCTAATGTGGGATGTAGTGCACGCCCCACTCACCACTGTGTGGCATGTGTGAGAGATTGAGAGAGGGAGGGAGGCGAGGCACTCACAGTCTGCAGGGTCGCACTGTGCTCCTCTTCTAATCGCCCTCATCAGTTCAGTATCCATTTCATACTCCTCCAGACCTCCTCGCATCACCCTCCCATGCCTCCTCTTCCCCAACACACCCCCCTTCTTCCCTCCCTCCTCTGCCTCCTCTCCTCCCTCCTCCCCTTCCTCTCCCTCCTCCCCCTCCTCACTCCCCTCCTCTCCCTCCTCCGCCTCCCCTTCCTCCATCTCCGCGTCTCCTTCACTCCCCCATCCAGGCAAAGCACCGCCTGAAGAACCACCTGAAGAACCACCTGAAGCACCTGCACCACCATCAGCAGCAGCAGCAGTGCTACCAGTAGGTTCGGCCGAACCAGCCAGTCCAGCAGGTTTGGCCGAGCCACCAGCAGCAGCGGCCTGGGGAGGAGCAAAGTGAATCGCCCCCGAGAACGTCGGTACGGAGGGGAGGAAGAAGGGCGCCTGCTCAGGCTTCTTGGGCGGCTGAATAGGCCTGTTTCTCTCCTTGATCACATCTAGCATCACTAGATTCACCCACTGGGATCGAGGCAGCATGGCACGTGATATCAACCCCGGGACTTGCAGTTGCAGCTGCTGGTTCTGCTGGTTCTCCCCTGCTTGATGCCCCTTGCCTTCTCCTCCTTTTCCAAGCTTCCCCTTTTCGCCACTACTGCCAGAAGCAGCGGCGGCGGCGGCGGCAGCACTGGTTTCATATTCCCTCGCTTCTCTCTCTGCCTCTTCAGCACTCCAGTGCTCTGCTCTCGTCCCCCCCTCACCTTTGCCCTTCCCTCCCTCCCCTTTCCCCCCACTCCCTCCCGCTCTCCCTCCTCCCACCTCCCCAGCAATAATCGCCACGTCCCCTGCCCCCACACCCCTTCCACCCACCCTCCTCCCCTCCTCATCCTCCTCCTCCCCCTCCGCTCCCTCGTTTGGACCAATCAGAATTGGCATCTGGACAGCTGGCACGCTGCTATTGGTCCCGGAGCCGTCAGTTGCGGTGGCGGCAGGGAGGGAGAGGGGAGCCGGGAGTAGGTCGGAGTCATCTATCCCAGAGTACATGGCCTTGTTCGCCCTGAGGGAGCGGGAGAGAGGGGTGGGGGCAAGGGTGGGGGATTGTGGGGCAGCATAGGGGAAAGGGGGATATGACAAGAGAGAGAGTGAGAGAGGGGAGCAGGGAGGAGGTCCGAGTCATCTATCCCAAAGTACATGGCCTTGTTCGCCCTGAGAGAGGGGAGGGAGGGGAGAGAAGGAAAAAAACAGGAGTTAGGGGGTGAGTATCGGTACAAAGGGATGAAAGGGGAGGGCAGGGAGAGAGAGGGGAGCCAGGAGGAGAGGTCCGAGACGTCAATCCCAGAGTACATGGCTGGCATTGTTCTCCCTGAGAGGAGCGAGGGGACTTTTGAGGCGCCTCAAAAGTCGCCTCATGAGGCGCCTAAAGAAAAGTCCCTTTTGAGGCGCCTCAAAAGGGAGAGAGAGGGGAGCCGGGAGGAGGTCCGAGATGTCAATCCAAGAGTACATGGCTGGCCTTGTTCTCCGTGAGAGGAGCGAGGGGGGTTCGCAGATTAGGGGAAGGGTGGCATGAGGTGAGTAACGGTACACAGAGGTGAAGGGGGGCAGTGAGAGAGAGGGAGACGGGAGGATTCGGAGCGGAGCCGGCTATCCCAGAGAATAGGGGAAAGGCGTATCTGGGTTTGAGATGGATGGTGGCTAGAAGGTCTGATCTGAAGAGGGCGACATAGAGAGCCCCACGACAGCTGTCGGCAATCTGACGCAGCAGCAGTACACCTCCCCAGAATCAGTAAGGCCCTCACCAAAGGTAGATCCCACGTCGGTTCAGATGGATGGTGGTGAGAAGGTCCGAGGAGGGCGACATGGAGAGCCCCACGACAGCTGTCGGCCTAAACCCCAAGCCACAGCTGTATTTTGGCCTAAACCCCAAGCCGAAAGACACCTCTGCAGAATCGACAAAGCACTTACCAGAGAAGAGATGGATCCCTCTTTTTGAGTCGACTCAAAGATAGATCCCTCGCCGGTTCAGATGGATGGTGGCAAGGAGGTCCGAAGTGGGCGACATGGACAGCCAGCCCCACCACAGCTGTCGACTCGACACCTGGAAGGCGTCCAGCAGCCGGCCAGCTATAAGCCTACACTGTTTGCTGGCAGCACTCTGGTTTTGAACGTGTATGTTCACCAAGGTGTGCGTGACGTGACGAACAGCAAAGAGAAAGAGAGAGTCCCCCCCCCCGCCAGCCACTTACCAGAGGTAGATTCCCCGGCGGTTGAGGTGTATGGTGGCCAGAAGGTCCGAAGTGGGTGACATGGACAGCCCCACCACAGCTGTCGGCACCTGGAAGTCAGAACAGAACACGTTACACACCTCTCCAGAACCAATCAGACGCTTGCAGTGCTCACCAGAGGTAGATTCCCCGGCGGTTGAGGTGAATGGTGGCAAGAAGGTCCGAAATGGGTGACATGGACAGCCCCACCACAGCTGTCGGCACCTGGAAGGCGTCCAGCGGCCGGCCACTCACGACGTGCCACGTGCGCACGGTCAGATCCATGGCTGACGTCAGCAGCCACCGGCCGTCGGGGCTCAGCTCGACGGCGGTGATCCGATCCTCGTGGCCCGGGAACCGCCGAACCAGCCGGCCAGCCTCGGCGTCGAAGATGTAGGTCGTGAAATTCTCACAGGCGATCGCTGCTAGGTCTGGTGGTGGAGGGTGGAAAACAATGGGAGGGTGGAGGGTGGATTAGAGGGAGGACAAGAAAACAATTGGCTGGCAGGGAAGAGAAGCCAAGATGCAAGTTGAGAGAGAATTTCACAAGCTATCGCTGATAGGTCTGTTCGGGAGAGTGAGAAAGGAGCGGAGTGAGAAGAAGGGGGGAAGATGAAATGGGGAAGGGAGGGACGGTTGACAGGAAAAGGAAAGACAGAGGAAAAGAGATGTAGGATGTGCTCTTGTTCAAACCTTGCTCAAGACAAGTTGATTTCTACGAAATTTCTGAACATCTATAAGTCATATCCGTTTCTAGCAACACCCGAATGGTGTTTTCTACACTCCGCTATTATCCCACCAAACGTCTGTACCACGCCATAATCGTTATAAGCACACTCACTGTTGCCGTGATGGAACTTCATCTTCACTATTGGAGAGCCGACATTCACATCAAACCGAAGCCGACCCGACTTGAGATACCAGACCTGGAAGGGCGAGGGGTGCAAGGGGAATGGGGAGAGGGGACAGGGCATGAAGGAGGGCAGACAGCCATTGTGATGGAACTTCATCTCCACTATTGGAGAGCCGACATTCACATCAAATTGCAGCCGGCCCGACTTGAAATACCAGACCTGAGAGTATGGGGCGGGGGGGGGGAACAGCGACGAGCGGACAACGGATGAGATGAGGGGATCACAGACTAAGAGTTCACATCAAATCGCAGCCGGCCCGACTTGAATACCAGACCTGAGAGTATGGGGCGCAGGGGGGAGAACAAGGCCGAGTGGATGACAGGGGATGAGGGGATCACAGACTAAGAGTTCACATCAAATTGAACCATGCCCGACTTGAGATACCAGACCTGAGGGTATGGGGCGGAGGGGGGAACAGCGACGAGCGGACAATGGATGAGATGAGGGGATCACAGAATAAGAGTCTGTTTTTTAGTTTTGAGACGTCTCAAAACTCAAAAGCACGGATTAAGAGTTCACATCACATCAAACTGAAGCATGCCTGACTTGAGCTACCGGACCTAATTCACAACCTGGTGGTACCGGACATGATTGGATCATTTACTCACACACACCTGATGCTGTGATTTGCCGGTTGAGGGTATCCCCAACAGCGCCTTTCATTCTTTTGAGGCGCCTCAAGAGATTGAGGTGATTTTTGAGGCGATTGAGGGCCTAAAAGATTGAGTCCACTCCACAGCAGCGCCTTTCATTCGGTGTGAGAGCAAGCGAGCAGGAGAGACAGAGACAGAGACAGAGACAGTGGATGCTGCCATTGCTGTCGACTAGATTCTACCATCTCCGCCGCAGCTGATGCTGTGTCGGTTCAGGCCGTCAACAGCAGTGCCAGTCACCATGCCGTCGCCATGTGCCGGGCTGTACTGCAGAGCAGAGGTGTGGCGTGTGGCACATGCACTGCACGTCATCTCACCAGTTTCTGATCCGCTCTCACTCACCTTGACCCGCCCGTCTCTACCGCAGCTAACGCTGTGTCGGTTGAGAGCATCAATAGCAGCGCCCGACACCATGCCACCGTGTGCCGGGCTGTACTGCACCTTCTCTGACTGGTACGCCACTCTGTAAGCGATGAGGAGAGAGAAAAACAGTGCCATGCTGTCTGCCAGTTCCCTTACTCACCTTGACATGCCCGTCTCTGCCACAGCTGATGCTGTGCCGGTTAAGCGCATCAATAGCAGCGCCAGTCACCATGCCGCCTTGCGCCGGGCTGTACTGCATCTTCTCTGACTGGTACGCCACTCAATGGCACATGCACTTACTGCTTCCTGCCAGTGCTCTCTCTCACCTTGACATGCCCATCTCTGCCGCAGCTGATGCTGTGCCTGTTGAGAGCATCAATAGCAGCGCCAGTGACCATGCCGCCATGCGCCGGGCTGTACTGCATCTTCTCTGACTGGTACGCAACGCGGTGCCGTGCCGACTGCAGGTGGAAGAGATGCAGATGGCCCGCTGAGGTCCCCACCAGAGCGAAGTTGCCGCACATGCTGGCAGCACACGCCTGGTGTGTGTTTTGGGGAGGGAGGAGAGGGGGACACGGATTGTATGTGCTGACTGCAGGTGGAAGAGATGCAGATGGCCCGCTGAGGTCCCCACCAGAGCGAAGTTGCCGCACATGCTGGCAGCACACGCCTGGTGTGTGTTTTGGGGAGGGAGGAGAGGGGGACACGGATTGTATGTGCTGACTGCAGGTGGAAGAGATGCAGATGGCCCGCTGAGGTCCCCACCAGAGCGAAGTTGCCGCACATGCTGGCAGCACACGCCTGGTGTGTGTTTTGGGGAGGGAGGAGAGGGGGACACGGATTGTATGTGCTGACTGCAGGTGGAAGAGATGCAGATGGCCCGCTGAGGTCCCCACCAGAGCGAAGTTGCCGCACATGCTGGCAGCACACGCCTGGTGTGTGTTTTGGGGAGGGAGGAGAGGGGGACACGGATTGTATGTGCTGACTGCAGGTGGAAGAGATGCAGATGGCCCGCTGAGGTCCCCACCAGAGCGAAGTTGCCGCACATGCTGGCAGCACACGCCTGGTGTGTGTTTTGGGGAGGGAGGAGAGGGGGACACGGATTGTATGTGCTGACTGCAGGTGGAAGAGATGCAGATGGCCCGCTGAGGTCCCCACCAGAGCGAAGTTGCCGCACATGCTGGCAGCACACGCCTGGTGTGTGTTTTGGGGAGGGAGGAGAGGGGGACACGGATTGTATGTGCTGACTGCAGGTGGAAGAGATGCAGATGGCCCGCTGACGTGCCCACTAGCGCGAAGTTGCCGTACATGCTGGCAGCACACGCCTGGTGTTAAAAGAGGGGAGGCGAGGAGAGGGTAACAGGGTGGCAGATGCTGACTGCAGGTGGAAGACATGCAGATGACCTGAGGTGGTGTCTACTTGAGAGACGTTGTCACACACGATGGCAGCACTGCACATGCTTGTTTGGTTCGGCAGGGGAGGAGGTGATTACAACTAAAAAACAAATAAGGCCATGTCTATTTGTGATTTCACTCCTTACAGTGGCAGGCGAGGGTTCAATTCCTGGCGGGACCAGCTTCAGCTTGCCAAATGGCAAAGTTTCTCAACTCCCACACGAATGCTACAAGACGTGCGTATGTGTGATACCTGTGCCCATTTTGTACTCGTTAAAAGCACACATCTCACTCCTTACAGTGGCGGGCGAGGGTTCAATTCCTGGCGGAACCAGCTTCAGCTTGCCGATCACAAAGTTCCTCAACTCCCACACGAATGCTGCTGGGTTGCCCTCGTGACAGGTCACCACGTTCGCCCAGTCCCTCTCCCGCACCTCAGCTAAAGATTGGGTACAAGCACGCACAAAGGGGTGAAGAGGTGTGAAACGGGGTACAGAGGCGTGAAGAGGGAGTACAGAACAGTAACAGGTGGTAAACAAGCTTAGATGAGAAATATCTAAAGGTAAAAAAAAATCCTCAGCTCCCACACTAATACTACCAGGTTGCCCTCGTGACACGTCACCACGTTGGCTGGCCCAGTCCCGCACACTGCACTGCACCGCACTGCACTGCACCGCACTGCACTGCACCGCACTGCACTGCACTGCACTGCATTGCCTTGAAGCACAACCTCAAAGCAGTTCGGCGCATGAGTTATTTGCTCAGAAACCAACCTATTATGCTCACCAGCGCCGCACCCCATCCATCCAGTCCAGCATTTGAGTCTACTCAGTAAACTGCTCACTCAGCCATTCATCCCAAATCCAAGCATGGTCTTCAGGACTCTCAAAGTACTATGCTTACCAGCGTCCATGCAGACGACCTTGGAAAGCTTTAGCTTCTCCTCCTGGGGGCGGGAAGGGGCAGAGGGAGCAGGGAGGGGGTAGCGAAAGAAGGAAACAAGGTTAAATCAGCGTTGTGAAAGTAGCAAGAAGTATCCTCCTGTGACAGCTCCCTGGCGAAACGCGTACGGCCAAAACGGCCGAAACGCGTACGCCTACTTAGTACTTTTACTTTGAGACTTATCAAGTCCTGGTTCATGCCTTTTTCCTTGCCTTACAAAGCAACCCACCCACTACACTTAGCTGAAAGTTTTACAGATACCACACAGCTTGCTGCGGTTCGAATCCTTCTTTACTTAGCGAGTTATCCTGTGACAACTCCCTGGCCCTTTCAGCTCCCTGTGACCAGCTTGGAGAGCTTCAGCTTCTCCTTCTGCCCTTTTTTTAACCCTCTCCTCACCTTCATCATAATCCTCTTCTCAAAGGTACTCTGTGACAGCTCCCTGTCCTGAATACTACAATACAATAACTACCCTCATCCTCACCCTCACTCCCAAATGTGCATGCCATGCCAAGGGATGCAGCCCCTTGTGAACCTTCTCCTCACCTTCATCATCATTTTCTTCATCCTCTTCTCAAAGTTGCCCTGTGATAACTCCCGGCTTTGTTGGTCCTGGTAGAAAAAAGGAATAGAAAAGGGAGGGAGGAGAGGAGCGCACACGTTTGTGCTTTCAAAATATGAGACGAGCGAGTTTTTTTATTTGAGGCACCTCAAAAAACATTGGGACGATTTTTAGGCGCCTCAAAAATGTTTTACCTGGACGGAGGAGAAGATGCGGAAGCTTCTGTCAAGAACAGCTGAGAGAATGTGATGTGACGGCCATTCCTGAAACAGTATCAAACGGTATTTGAAGCATACCTGGACGGTGGAGAAAATGCGGAAGCTTCTGTCGAGGCCAGCCGAGAGAATGTGACGTCCGTTCCTGTAGTACCTGATGATTGGTTTGGTGGGATGCGGTGTGATGCGGTGAGATGGAGTGAGATGGGATTCGATAGAACGTGATTAGAATGTGAGGGAGGGACGTGAGATTCTCCTACTGTTTCTCCTAGGATGAAGATGCCTATTTTTCTTTCCTACTCTGTTTTACTCGCTCAATGCAGCAGGGTGGCTTTATTTGTACTCACTTGATGCAGCAGGGCGGCGAGCTGTGTCCTGTGCGGTAGCGCAAGAGACGAGGGTTATCGTCCACCGAATCAAATATCCAAATCTGGAACACGAGAGAAGAATGGATGAGCAAAGAGGAGGGTAAGGAGAGAGGGGGGTGTGTAGACAGAGGGGAAAACGGGGAGAGGGGGGAAGAAGGGGAGAGGGAGAGAGGGAATTGACATGAGAGAGAGAGAGAGAGAGAGAGAGAGAGAGAGAGAGAGAGAGAGAGAGAGAGAGGGCTCGCTGACAAGGACGGAGAGGGCAGTGGGGTGACGAGAGAGGACTGGATACAGCAGTACAGTATGTTGAAACTAAAGCACTGCCCTGAGGCTGTTGTCTGCCCCCGCAGAGCAGAAGAGGTTCGTTCACAAGGAAGGAGAGGGCGGTATAGTGCAGAGAGAGGAGAGGGAGCACCAGTACAGAACCTTGAGTTGAGACTAAGGCTGTACCTTGAGTTGAGACTAAGGCTGTACCTTAAGGCTGTTGTCTGCCCCCGCAGAGAGCAGCAAGGGTTCGTTCACAAGGAAGGAGAGGGCGGCTACACGCCCGTCGTGGGCGTCGGGAATGATGGAGTGCAGGCGACGACAGACACACTATCGCATAAGTAAGACTATAGCATATCTTGAGGCTGTTATCTGCCCCGGCAGAGAGCAGCAGAGGCTCGTTGACTAGGAAGGAGAGGGCAGCCACGCGGCCATCGTGGGCGTCGGGGATGATGGCATGCAGATGACGGTTGGTGAGGTCACAGACGACGATTGAAGAGAAGGGGTTATGAAAGTGATAGCAATACCTTGAGGCTGTTATCAGCGCCAGCGGACAACAGAAGAGGCTCGCTGACAAGGAAGGAGAGCGCTGCCACGCGGCCATCGTGGGCGTCGGGGATGATGGAGTGCAGACGACGGTGGGTGAGATGAGAGTGAGGAGCTACGAATAGTACAGAGGCAACGGTCGTACCTTAAGGCTGTTGTCAGCACCGGCAGAGAGCAGCAGAGGCTCGTTGACGAGGAAGGAGAGAGCGGCTACACGCCCGTCGTGGGCGTCGGGAATGATGGAGTGCAGGCGACGGTTTGTGAGGTCCCACACGCTGATGGCCCCTCCCATCCCTCCCACTGCTAGAAGAGGCGGACCGTCTGAAGGGTAAATGGGGAGCAGAACAGCACCGCACATTGAAAGGAGGGCATGGATGCAAGCACACGAGTGCAGAATGCACCATGCCATCGCTGCACCCCACTGCTCAGCACCGCACTGCACTGCACTGCACTGCACTGCACTCGCTGCACTGCACTGCACCTCAGTACCGGACTAAACCGCACCATACCGCAGCAGAAAGCTGACCTGAGTTGAAGGCCAGGGAAGTCACAGCTCCAGCAGCAGCGTGTGTGAAATCCACGACTGGTTTATCCAGCCTTATGTTATGCACATGCACCTTGCCATCGCTGCACCCCACTGCTACTGTGTCCAACGCAGGTGATCCCACCAGCGCCGTTATCCCCACACCCCACCCCTTGAACTCGTACAGAAGCTTCTTGGAATTTACGTTCCACAGCTGCATGCGCCCGTCTTCTGACGCGAACAGGACCTTGTTGAGGTACGTGTCGGGGTGAATTACCCCGGTTGGATTGAACCCCTCGGGCAGCTGAAACTGCCCAAGAGGCTCCAGAATAAACCCCCCCTGGTCAGTCCCTCCTCCTTGCTTCTTCCCCACTTCATTCCCTGCTCCATCCCCTTTCGGTCCCTCTCTTACCGCTCTACCCTCCTCCTCCTCCTCATCCTCATTCCCCTCCTTCCTCTTCCCTTCCTCTCCTTCTCCCTTGGGTGCATCCCTTTGAGCCCCTCTGACCGGCCACAGGAGCACATGCCTCTGCTCGTCCACTGAAAGCAGATATTCGCCAAACACCAGAAGAAGCCTGACCTTCGCCTTGTGCCCCTTGAGCGTTCCCACCTGCCAGTGCGAGCGGAAAAAAGGAAGGAAAAAAAGGCTCATTCAACGCAGGGAAGCATCTCTTTGCGCCCCTCTGACCGGCCACAGGAGCACATGCCTATCCTCATCCACTGAAATCAAGTATTCGCCAAACACCAGCAGCAGCTTGATCTTCGCCTTGTGCCCCTTCAGTGTTCCCACCTGCCAGGCCCATACTCACGCCCACACCAACACCACAACCACAACCACCTGCACCTACACCCATTACCCACCTGGTGCGAGCGGTAGAAGACTGCAATGAGAGGTGAGCGCACGGATGGATGGACATGGAGACCCACGCCCACACCCCTGCACCCACCTCCACCCACCTGCACCCACCTCCACCCACCTGCACCCACACCCGTAACCCACCCACCCACCTGGTGCGAGCGATAGAAGACGGCAATGTCTGTGCCGAACGCAGCAAATGTGCGGTCGCGATGAGAGGTGAGGGCACGGATAGACTTGGGAAGTTCCGATCCTGAGAGGGTTGGGAAGTGGGGTTGAAGCTTTCGGGTTTGGAGTTCGAGGGTTTCTGAGGCGACTCAAGTCGCAGCAAAGGTGCGATGGTGATGAGAGGTGCGAGGATGGATAGCCTTAGAGAGCTGTTCCTGACAGGGGTTTAAGGGCACGGGTTTCGGGTTTAAGACATTAAAGGCACAGCTTAGGAAAGAAACAGAATGTTACATTTCAGAGTTTGATTAGAATAGATTATTGAGAGGATATGCTTAAGGCTCAGTAAGCGGGCGGCTTGAGGTGCAGATGGGAGAGAGTAGACTCACCAACGAAGACCAGGCGAAGCTTCGCGCACTGATTCCATTCGGAACGGCGTCACGAACGCGGAAACGAAACGGGTTACCAGCAGCCGCCGGGACCAGTTTCGCACGCAATGCCGGATGGGAGAAAGGGAAACAGTAAACCGAAGAGATGGGAGGGGAAGCATTGAAAGGACCACGTAGTGAATGAATGAAGGGAAGCGAAACACGATTAGACAATAAGAAACGACCAGTGAACGAAGGGCACGGGGAAGAATCGCTCCAATGCATTTCTAGCCTGTGGTACTGAACGGTCGCCTTCGTAACACTAACCCTGAACTACCACTGCTAGCCCGAAACCTATCGTGACCACACTGTAGGGTCTCATACGTACGTTGTAAATTTGCCAGGCGCGACCGACGCTAACGGTTACGTACGTCTCGGTTCCCACCCGCCGTAAGGAGAACGGCGTGTCATCTGTGATGTATCCTATCGCCCTGAATGGCTGAAACAACGGCATGGCTCCCACCCAGCCACTCCGAACGAAACAATTTTCGAGTGAACGTTGCCGAAAATTAAGTCTGATCTGATTACCGCGACCCTGAACTGACGCGGTAAGCACCGAATGCTAAGACTCCACTGCTGTCGAATCGTGGCCGTGGCTGTCTGAGGGGTTCCAGGCACACCTAAAACCTTCATGCGGCAAGAGTGAGGTTCGTTAAGATCCCGCGTTTTTGGGGATTGTCTACACGCTATCATTTTGGTTAAATGTTATGTTCCTTTACTTGAGGGCAACCACATTTTAGACCAGCTTAAATGGAATTTCCCTCATATTTTGAGTAAAAAAAATATGAAATAAATAAACAAATAAATTTAAGATTCTACATAGGCATCTACCTGATATTACTTAATGCTGCGCTACATAGGATAGAGAGCTTAAATAGCACTATGTTGTACCAGTCTTCTTGCAGAATGGCGATTGCGCTATAACGGCGTGTCGTGGAGCTTTTGTGCAGCTTTTGCTGCCTGCAGGCTCCCCGTCATCAAAGTGTCCCTTCAAGAGCCCACACCTGGAGCAACCGTCACGGCGCCTGATTGGGCAGGGGCGACCTTCGTAGGCTGCCCTGGTTCATCGAATCGAACCTATCTGCTTCGGCCTGGCGGTTTGGGCCTCGGCTGGAGAAGTGAAAAACGCCCGCCATGGTTCGCCGAGCCAAAACTGTCTTCTGGTCAGAGAATACAGCCAGGTTTGCTGGACTTGTTGCCAGGGCCAAGATTCATTCAATAAAAAGCTGATTTCGATGAGCTGATTTCCATTTGAACCTTATCCAGCAACTGTAACATCTTAAGTAACCGCTCTGAATCGCACAAAAGTGGATTCTCACGGCCAGCCACTTCCATCCCACGCGACATTTGAACATCTGACTGCCTTTCTCAAGGGTAATTACATACTGGTTGGGCTTCATAGAAAAACATGTTGTTTCCGATCCCAATTTGACCCGTTTGGTGTGACTTTCTCCTGATTCTCATTTTCGAGACCAAGATTATTGTCACGTTTCATGTCTACGGGCGATTTTTTTCGCCACGTGTCCATGCTCTTGTTGATTTCATGTGCCTGCAAAATTTACGTGCGACTGAACCAAATGCTGTTTTTTTATGGTGTATAAAACTAAAATTATAAGGAAACCCGGGACTACTTTCGATGCATCAACTCTAAACACCTAGCCGGTTCCCGTGTTTAGGGCTGATCATCTCCCAATTGTAACGCTTTCACAACGTCAACCCCAAACACCTGGCCATTCCCGTGTTTAGGGTTGATACTTCCCGAAATGAGTCCGTGTCCCTAGGGGTTTATTTTTTGTCTGCTAGGTCAAAATGTTTCAGAGAAATCGCGTCGGACACGTGACGAAACATGTTGCCTGTATCCATGAAACGTCACTAATCTGGATGTCGCGTGCGAGAATTCGTCTAAAGTACCACTCAATGAAAAAACTTACGAGTAGAAAACACGAAGTTTCAGTAATACCCACCCAGTGTATACTTACCCCTTTCTCAATCTCCATCTCTGTTATTTGCTTCTGGCACCCCAGTACTAAGCAGCATACATTGCCTGCTATCAGCTGGTAGTTCCCCTCGGTTCTATCGTGATTTCGTTCTCATTAATTCACTTCCCAAACCGGAATGGCGACCGCCGACGAAACCAAGGGCCTTCGCCCTCCGTCGACCACGATCGCTACTGACATGACACAGGCGCGTCGCTTTCACTCCAGTGCTCTCAGAGAACGCTTAACGATTTTTCTTAATTGCTAGATATATCAATTGAAGTAAAACATGTTCCTTTCACGAATTTCGATTCTTAACGAGCCGTAATTTGCATTTGCTATGCAGTTGGTCGGCAAGACCCCGATGGTGTATCTGAATAAGGTGACGGAGGGATGTCTGGCCAACATTGCGTGCAAGCTGGAGATTATGGAGCCCTGCTGCAGCGTCAAGGATCGGTACGTTCCGAATGTGTGTCATGCTCGTATCGCGTATGTCGTGTTTCCTTGTCAAGGCCAACATTGCGTGCAAACTGGAGATTATGGAGCCCTGCCACAGCGTCAAGGACTGGTACGTTCCGTCTGTTTGTCGTGTTTCCGTGTGTCTTGTGCCTTGTTCATGTCGCGTTTGTCGTGTCCCCGTATCTTGGCCAACATTGCGTGCAAGGCGGAATCCGGTACGTTTCGTGTATGTCTGTCAGATTTTCGCCGTGTGTCGTGTTCAATTAACCGCGTAGGGCATAGTTTTCAAGTGGGATATGTTGTTTCCGTTGTGTGTCGTTGCTTTTGTGCGTCATGTTTCCGTGAAAATCAGGTTTCGAGAATCACGGCCTTGCTTGTTGTGGTGTCCATGTCTAACCTAACTTTTCAGCATCTAAAAACGGTTCATTGCTCGTATCGTAGGCTTATGGCTGTGTGTTTGGTGCTCCCTGTTTGCTTGTGCATATGCGTTTCCCCACCCCGTTCAGTATCGCCGTGAGCATGATCACAGACGCGGAAGAGAAGGGGCTTATCACTCCAGGCAAGGTACGCGGACACCAAAAACACATGTCGTTACGAATCGTACCAACAGAAGTCCCGGACCAATCGTATCAAAGTTTCTCTGATTACAATTGACCGAGCTGTGGAGGTGGGTGGGAAGAGGTGAAATAGAAAGCACAGCACGCATAAATTTGAATCTCAGGTGAATGCTGGTGAAGATCGTGTGTCTCTCCTGTGTCTCTTTGGGTAGATCGTGCTGGTGAAGGCTGAAGCTGACGAGTGGCAACACGGGCATTGCTTGCAGTGGGTCGCACAGGCTCGTCTTTCTGCCTCGTTTACCTCATTCCCAAGCTCACTTCCACCCACTCCCCTCCCTCTGGACAGAGCGTGCTGGTGGAGCCGACGAGTGGCAGCACGGGCATCGGTTGCTTGCAGTGGGTCGCACAGGCTCGTCTTTCTGCCTCGTTTACCTGATTCCCTAGCTCACTTCCACCCACTCCCCTCCCTCTGGACAGAGCGTGCTGGTGGAGCCGGCGAGTGGCAACACGGGAATCGGTCTAGCCTTCGTGGCGGCTGCGAGGGGTTACCGTCTCATTCTCACCATGCCCGCCTCCATGAGCCTCGAGCGCTGCGTGCTGCTCCATGCATTCGGTGTGGGCCTGATTCGGGCCGGCTCTGGTTCAGGGCACACCTGATGCTGCTGCTGCGTGTGAATCCCCCCTTTCTTCGCGCCTTCCATCCTCCCCTTCCCCATCACTCCCCCCGCCCCCATCAGAGCGTGCTGGTGGAGCCGACGAGTGGCAACACGGGCATTGGA